CGAGTTGGGGGAGGGGGTGTGCAGTCGGGGGGTGGTGGGCAGTGGAGAAGAGAGAGAAGAAAATGAAAAGGAAAAATGAAAAACAGATAAAATCTATTTTTTTAAAAAAATGAGTTTTTTGGGAAAATTTTAAAAACGTTTTTGTTTTTAGTTTTGGTACAAATTCTTCCCAAACACATTTTCATTTCCCGTTTCAATTTTTCTTCCTCAAAAACTGTGAAAAAGGAAAATGAAAATGGAAACAAAGGGGTCTATTGAATTTAAATTTATGTGAGAGAAAACACTGTAGTAATATGACTCGAGTCATATAAAATAAATAAGGTCTTAAATTTTCTCTCGAATTTACTAGGAAAAACTTTATAATTTTTTTTTCTGTCAAATTCCGGGTCTTGTAACGATGCAGCTCTCCAATTTCAAAATATATATCCGTTTCTCCAATTTTTGAAACCGTTACAAATTTGATCCTTGCTTTAGTTTTGTGGAAGGAATTGCGATTTGAGCGGAGAAGTTAAAGAAATAGCGAGAAATGACAAACTTACCTCGAAAATATAGATTCGCTGCAAAATTACAAAACAAATGAAAATCTAATTTGACTATTTGAGTTTAAAAATCCCAATTTATATAAAAGAAAATCTAATACTAATTACAAAATTAAATATCAAGAATTTTCCAATCAAGAAAATCTTCTCTGCCAATTGCAAAATTAGGATCCCATCAGGAAAGGGTGGTTGCAATTCCAATTTGCAGGAGATGGGGGTATTCGGTCTGGACATTTTTTTTAAAAGGGATTTTGGACTATTCTGCAATATTAGCAAAGAATGTCCTCATTCGATCTTTAACTATCAATCATTATTGGACTAAATTGCAATATACTTCTAATTTATTTGAGCCCCTTCTTAGTGATGACATATGTCCGTGTAGATCTAAAATGTTAGATCTTCTTCTTGTAGAATGGGCAACCTTAACATAATTAAGATAAAATAATCGTACAAGCTGAGACTAAGGAGTATCTTCATTTTTAATTACAAATTATGATTAGTTTAATAATTAGGAAAAAGAAGGGGGAAAAAAAAAAAGAACATGGAGTAGCTAGCAAATCCTGATTAATTTATCTTGATTGGGCAACTTTAACATGAGATAAATTAATGGTCGTATGAGTATTCTTAATTTATAAGTAACAAATTCTGATTAGTTTATTAGGCAAAAAAATTGTTACACCATGGTCGAGAAATCGACCACTCTATCGAACGACAGGCGCCGAGCACTCCCTGCCTGGAATCGGTCGCTGGCGTCGAGGGAGCAGACTGTAACTGAAGTGGCCTTTACGTCGAGAGACCCTACGTGGCGAGATGCGTCGAGCACCATGACTCGACTACTGGAGGCCGTTGCGTCGAGACAGCACGTCCAGTCAAATCCATCAACGGTCTTATCAACTCGGGGAAGAAAGTATTGATCCAACTGCTACTGCAGGAGTCAGGAAAGCAGGCGGCAGATGAGAGGGATCAGCCGCATTTTCTGAGGTTGTCATCATGAAAACTCACCTACCCGCCCGTAAATCGAGGGACGGAAGATGGCTTCCTCCTTGGGAATGGCGAAGGGATAATCACATGTAAAGGCCTATAAATAGAGCCAAGAAAACTGAGAAAAGGGTTACGCACTATTTCATTACTCCAAGAGGGTTTGTAATCTTAGAAGATATTAGTGCATTCACAAGTGGATTAGGCAAAGAGTTCTTGCCGAACCACTATAAATCTATGTCTCATTTACATTATCTCTCAATTTTAATCCTTAGTTAAACTGCGAGTGTTATTGAGAGTGTTTTTGGAGAGTAAGTAACGCGTTGTCGGAAAAACACCGTCAACAAAAATCAATATAAAAGTACCAATAATATGTTTATTAATCAAATATAAAGTACATAATAATAGAAAAGGGGCATAGTGTATAAGAATACCAATTTTCTTTTTTTTTTATGCTAACTTTATCTTTAGAAATATTATGCGGAATAAAGATTAATATTGATCATTATCATATGTTCTACACATGCATCTAAAGCAATGTATCTAAACATAATAATAATCATACTAAGCTGGCTTTTGACGTGCGTGCATGAACAAATGTTGTTATAAATAACATTGCCATATGCAAGTTGGTTTCATGTAATCTTTCTAAATAAAAGATAAAGAAGAAGAAAGGGAAAGAAAAAGAGAGAAAAAAAAATCTTATAATGGCTACTTTAGTCGCCCCTGACAACTGTTCACCCGTCCAAGATGCTGAAGCTCTTCGGAAGGCTTGCAAGGGTAGAGTTTTTATGCCTCAAATAGGTTATTTTGCATAGAAATGTTTCCCTTCAACTTTACGAGTTTGGCAATTTAGTCTCTTAATTTTTTTTCTTGATAATTCACCCCTTAAATTTTAAAATTTATTACAATGTTTGTCAAATTGAAAATAATTTTAAAACCTTGGACGATATCTTCCACGTGAGTCTTTAATAATGGTAATTAATATTTTTTTGCATCGAATTGATTCTCGTATACGCATCACGAGCGAAATTTTTTTTGAAATTAGGAGCTAACCATTTTGGGAGAAAAATTGAGAGTCCCCCAATTTGAAAAAAAATTTCTTTCATGATGTGTATAAAAGTTCAATTCGATGTAAAAATACTAAAATTATGCTTATAAAACACTTATGTAGAAGATACCATCTAAATTTTTAATTTTGTTTTTAATTTGACAAATAATGCAACAAATTTTAAAATTTAAGGAGTGACTTGTTAAGAAAAAAGTTAAGAGATCAATTTACTAAACTCGTAAAATTGAGTGGTAACTATGCAAAAAAAAGCCCCTCAAATATTCTTTTTTCAACTGTACTCAATATGGTTTTCCCTGTGATGTTCACCAAAATATTGTTATTGCCAAAAGGGGGGAGGAAAGAAAAAAGAAGTTCCTCTAATCTTTCCAAGCCCTTTCAAGCACAGTTATAAAACATAACTTCTTGTTTATTGTTTTGATTCTTAATCACTTGCACAAATGGTCTTCACTTTAGAGAATTTATTGATTCTTGAGTTGACACATTGATTATGAAAAACAATGTGACGTGATCTATGCTTTGCTTAAATTACAGAGATACCCCTTTGACCAAAATATTCAAATTTCAACATCCCACCATCCTTTATTTGGTATTTGATATAAAAAAGAACAAAGTGCTTAAGCAATCCCAGTTGATGATTTACGTTTTGCTTTGATTTTAGCCGTTATAATGATATTTTTTTAACTGTTGAGTATACATTATAGTTGTGAGTGTCTAAAGATAACTTACAATTTTTTTATTAATTAAATAAGGATAAAAATGTCAGTTTCAGGTCCTAAATGTAGCTGGAATTATTTTATAACGCATGGAGAGGTATCTTTCTCATTTTGACTAAGGATAAATTGTTAATTTATCTAAAAACTCTTGGGGTTGTTGACATAAAATGCTTCAATGAAGTAATCTCAGCGTATAAAAAGTGGATAAATTTTCAAATTTAACCCTCTTTTTTTTCAACTCTATTATTTATTGTAATACACAAAATTTTAATGCCACTATAAAAAATAACATGCAAGTTATAAAAAGATAATCTGCACGTTACAAAAAATAGCTTACAAATTATGAAAGATAATCTGCAGATAATAAAAAATAACCTGCAGATTACGAAAGATAGCTTGTAGATTATGAAAAGATAACTTGTAAATTATTAGTGGCATGAGATAGATTTATAACAGTAGTAGTAGAAATAAAATAGTGTCACTTTAATTATGACATTTTTTGTTTTATATCAAAAAAATAAAAATAAAAAATAAAAACCATTACTTTCATGTAGATTGACGATCCAATTAATGCTAGAACTTAAAGCTAGTTATCCTCTCTCATTATTAATATAGTTTATTTTTTCTATATATTGATATACTAAATATATGCGCAGGATGGGGAACCGATGAGAAGGCTATAATACAAATATTAGGGCATAGAAATGCAGCTCAAAGGAAGCAAATCAGAGAATAATTGTGAGGTTCATTAACTAACTAATTTAATTCTCAGTTTCTTTCTACTTTCGACTAATTCAAGAATAATTTTGTTATATGAAATGTCCACCGGTACAATTTATTTTCACTGTTATTTTATTTTATAAGGAGTTTCTTTAAAAAAAAAAAAAACCAAATAAAAAATATATATTAATCCAACAGTTATAATAAATTAAACAGTTAACTAAAAAAATTATGACAATCAAATGAATTTAGATTGTTATCATGTCACATTATTAAATTTCATGATAATATTATTAAATTTTTATATTTGATCGGTAACCACCCACAAAAAAATAATTGTTAAAAACCCGTCCTCACATACGTATACACTGGACAAACCATATATTATATAGACACATAAATTTACAGTACAAATAAACATAAAATATTGATTTAAAAATTGCAACCAATCCCCCGATTCCGAAGGTGTTTTAATTTTTACTAGCGCACAAACATCACAATTCGTAGGTTTTTTTTTTCCCCACAACATGGTAGGGTATTTGTTCATACAATATGATACTGAAATTTGATATATATATATATATATATATATACATACATATATATATATGTGTGTGTGTGTACGCAGAGAGCTGTCTACCGTTTTTTTTCCTTTTATACATTAATTTATTATTTAAAATCTCTAAAGAATATATATATATATATAGCACATGCTCACTATTGTTAAACTTAAACATAATATTTCAAATGATATCATGCATTAGAGGACAAAATAAAATAGCATAGGCTCACCATTGTTAATGAAAATGCTGGGCCACATTATCAGTTTTTTTGTAGTTGTAGATTGGCAATAGCTGTTATATTTTGTTGTTGTAACTATTAATGCTAGAAGAACAATATTCGAAATTTTAAGACCCGTTTAGTTCGCTGGTTCGAGTTTTAAATTTGAGTTAAGATGTGATTCTATGTGAGAGCTTTTTACTGTAGCAAAAAAGTTAGATGTGATTGTTTTTTAGAGCTTTTTATTGTAGCAAAACTCGAATTCTAAATTCAAATTGGTGAAATGAACGGGGTACTCTTCTTCTTCTTCTTCTTCTTTTTCTTGTTTTCTTATCTTTTCACTTGTTCGATTGTATATTCTTCATGCTAAGAGCATTGACACCAACCCTCTCCTCAAACACACACGTGCGAAGCTTTAATTTTTCAAACAAAGAAAAAAAAACCTTGTTCAAACGACTACTAGTAATATAAATAGGCAGAACCAATAATTTCAATTGGATTAACGGTAGCCGTTTAGATAAGTGGATTTTGGGCAGAGACAAAATAATTACCTGGAAATTTTGATCAATTTATTTATGACATTCTCTCATTTGTAAGAAATTACAGGAACTAAGAACAAGGATACCTCCTTAAATCATAACAAGCAAGAATCAAACAAGGAAAAATAAACTTTAAAACCCCGATGGATCGATCGTTCAATCTCTTCTGAATATCTGAACCGCAGACGACATGAAATTCATGTCATGAGGACTCCAAATTTTTTTCATTTAGTTTTCCTAATTTCCAACCAAGGCAAGCAAGAAATCCTTATAGTTCCCATTCGCCGCGTCTTCAATTTTCTTGGACAGAGAAACTCCATACTGGTTTTGGAACTCCTCTCTTATCTGCTTCATGTCTGCGTCGGCTCGGGTGACGATTACTCTTGTCAGAGCCTTCTTTGCTTTCTTATCTGCATCCTTCTTCAGTGCTGCGTCCAACACCTAAACAGGACAGAAAAAAAAAAGCATTGCATTTTCAGTAAAAACTTTATGTATATATATATATATATATATATATATATATATATATTTAGTGATCTGGTTTTGGTTTTATGATCAGCTAACCTTTGTAAAATATTTCTGGGGAACACAGAGACATTGGACTGTCTCTTGCAGCCTCGAATCAGCACCGATATCCTAATGAATGAGAGCATCGAAAACAGAATAGTAATTGAGACACAAAATGAAATATTGCAAACAAACAATGCGCAATAATCAGTGGCAGAGCTGAGAAAATTTTTCCACGAACATGTTAAGTACACACACCAGGAAATCATTTACATGTAAAATATGATAATGTAGATGATTATAAATTTATTACCTCATCTAGGTTCTTGCCGGAATTCTTGTGGTATTGGTCATAGACTTCCTTGAGATGAGCCCTGCTCCTAGTTGATAGTATCCTTATCACTTCATCGTCTTGGAGGAGGCTTTTCTTATCTGCGTTCTTAATGGCATTTGCAAGCTCCTTTACGTCAGATTTGACATTGTCGTCCTTTACTTTTGGTCCCTCGTATCTATAGGCACTCAAAAGTGCCACCAAAAGCTGTAATTCAATGCCCAAAAAATAATCATGCAAGTTAGTAATTGAATTGCTAGTTTTAGATCTTCTAGGCCGTCTCATTGCATAGTGCATATGAAGTCGGTCTATTACGAGTGCAGTCTAATAAATCCTCTCATAGTATTCAATCTCATACCATATGAACCGTCTAATTTAAATCACAATACCATTCATGTCCTAAAGTAAGTGTGCCCTATAATAGAATCATATATATATATATATATATATGGATTAAAAAACCAAATCATTTTGGTGGGGGCTCTAGAAGACCGTGTTCAAAAAAGGCAAATGCCATGTGAGGTTATTATTATTATTATTATTATTATATTTTTTATAATTTTTTTAGTGATTGATTTTACTATCTGAGTTGTCAAGTGTGTATTAGGAACTACTTTATGTCACCTTTGTCACACAATATAAGATCCCGTTCTAGTCTTAAAGGGGCAAAAGAGTCATTCTATCATCTAAAAGGAGTTAGATAAATTAGGGTTCGTTTAGTACAATGATTCAAATCAGGGTGATTCTAATCATGATTCTAGAACCAGAACAATGATTCATGATTTTTGGTTCAAATCATTATTATAAAACCATGATTCAAAATCAGATGTTTGATTCACCTTGAATCAAGAGGGGGGTGGTTTTAGAATCATGATTCAGAATCATCCAAAGTAAACACTGATTCTGAATCATGATTCAAAATCACTGTAAACAAACACTGAATATTTACTATCTGAGTTGTCAAGTGTGTATTAGGAACTATTTTATGTCACCTTTGTCACACAATATAAGATCCCTTTTTAGTCTTAAAGGGGCAAAAGAGTCATTCTATCATCTAAAACGAGTTAGACAATTACCTTGCGTTCAGGACCCTTGATGTGGTGAGCAGCATCCTCCTCAATGGAGCGATCAAAGAGGGAATGGTAGGCCCTCCTGGCCCCCAACAGCTCATCGGATGATCTGGTGCATGCAATCTCAATCAGCACACCCAAGGAACCTGGTGATGATCCATTTTTCAAGGCTCTCTTTACCAAACGAGCGTCTCGTTCCCAGGGATGCATGGCCCTCAGCACCACAGCACCCTAACACAATTAACGTATTATAACCCACAACGCATGCAACACATAATTAAGATAGCCAACTAATTAAGTATTAGGTACTCATTTAACCATACATTATTAAGTTAATTCGAATTATATTAGGCGACCCAAATTTTATTGTAATTTTTTAATATCAACTGACATGTAACGTGTTTTATTTTAATTTTGTAAGTATAGCTTAAGGGCGAACCGAGGCGGGCGGAAAATCTTTTGAGCTCGGCCCGCCTTCCTCGCAGAGGTAGGAGTTTGCCAATTCCCTCAGCATTTTTTTTAATTGGTTATTAAAAGATAACACGCATCAAAAGATTGTAACTCATTTTTACATTAGTTATAAAAAGTTTGGGATAAAATTGGGATCCTACCGCTACTTAATTATTTAGTACTCTTATAAAGAAAAAAAATAATTTAGTACGAACTTTTAGGAAAGCCTATAAACACCCCATATTTGTGTAGGGACAGATAATTGAAATAGTCTAATTTATGTTATGAATGACCATACGCTTTTGTGTTGTTGTGTCTTTTTATACTTTCTTTATTACCAAAAATCGGTGTTATTTGCTATTATTTTATTTGTATAGGTAGAATTATTTATCATGTAAGAAAATATCAATATTATCGTGCAATAATAATATAGCAGGCATCTTTATATAAAATATTGGGAAGTAAGTGGGAAAATACCCAATTAAAAATTTTCATTTAGCTTTGTAAATCCTTGGAAATTTCCAGCTACGCCACCACTCAAAATTTTTTTTTTTAAAAAAAACCTTTCTTTTTTATTCTTCCCAAGGGATTAAGGGAAATTACCATTACTTGATTTTAAGTATTTAAAACGAATTAAAATTAAGACCCAACTAATTCTTAACTTTTTTGTCCTAAAATTCAACTAACTACATATAGCCATACTCCATTTTACTATAACAATAAAAAAAAAAAAAATTATAATAGCCAAAACTAAAAGTAATTACATTGGATTGCATAAGACCTAAGAAGGAAAGAGAGATTTTATTTATGATTAAGAAAATTTAAAATGAAACTATGGAAAGAAAAATGAAATTAACATTACCTTGAAACGCAAGAATTCTTTCTCGAGACGTTTGACATGGTCTTCATCACAGCGCTCAAAAAGACGCTCATCTTGAACGAAGCAATTGCGATTTGCTTTCCAAAATGATTTTCTCTCCTCAGCTTTCCATTTTCCCAGATTCTCTATCAATGATTTCTCGTCCACTCCAAGTCCACATTCATCTGGTGGCTCAAATGATCATCCATCATATATACATACATATTATAATTTTTCTAATTTTACAGAAAAGAAATTACGAATGGCAATTTAAAATACCACGATTATATTTGTCTGTGAAGAATATATAAAACCAACTAAAAGAAAAACTTAGAAATTACCGACCTATAACAACATAACTTTCACTTATATATATATATATATATATATTATTGTTTTTAAGATTATAACAATATGTTGAGAAGATATCTTTATCCAATATTCATCTTACTTTTTATGTGTACTAGAAAGGAAACAAAAGGTAAAATGTCAACAACAAAAAAAAATGCTCAAACACTATAAGAAGAAAAAGAAAAGAAACTTTATATATTAGCAACAAAATTGTAAAAAGGAGAAGAAGGGAATTTTTTGTAGAACCTGAAAATGCCTTGCTGAGATTCTGGACCACATCAGAGAGAGCCATTGTTTGTGTTTGGACTTTGGAAAAATGCGAGCTGAGAAAGAAGAACAAGAGGAAGAGAAGAGACAGAGAGAGACGTTTTTCCGATCACTTTGGCAATGCCAGATTTATATATAAATTTCAAAGGTCATTTTCGTCATTTCAAAATAATGGTTATTTTCTAACTAATTATATATGTATAGGCATAATAATTCATGGAGTGGGATATTTTGCAAACGGAAACAAGCGAAATTATTATTCAGTAACATGCGTTATGGTTTGATTCCGTTGCAAGTAATTCGAAAATAGAATGGTGCGTTTGAAATTTATTTTAAAATGATTTTATTTTTTTGTATAAAAATAAAAATGAAAACGTTTTTAATTTTAGACATGAATTATTTTTGAAAATACGTTTAATAGTTTTATTAAGAGATTATTTTCAGTGTAAAAAATCTTATTAATGTCTCTCTTTCTCCCTCTGCTTGAGAGAGGAGAAAACGAAAACAAAAAAAATAAAAAACGACTAATCATTTTACATTAAACCAAAAAATCATTTTCATTTTCATTTTTTTGTCTTTATTGCTCCAAACACCGTTTTAAAAATATTTTTATTTTTTCTTTCTTGAATAACATAAAAAATAAAAACGGGATCAATTTTAAACACGGTCGAAATTTTTCTTCTTCTATTTTTTTAATGGAAAAAACTTAGCGATATTCGAACTGCTTTTCTTTTTCTTTTTCAACGGAAAAACTAGAAACAACAATATTTAATAGGCATTGATATGTAAAGAATGGAAGTTTCGAACCTCAGATAATAATTACTTCTCATCTTTTGTTGAAATTTGAAGAATATTTCTCTCATTTTGCAAGCATGTAAATGTACTTTGCTGTATTCAATATCAACGCCTCCTACTTCTGTTTTTTTTTTTTTTTTTTTTTCACCGTAAAAGAATATCCTATTTTATTATTTTCCCTTTTACAAACAAATAATTTCATGGTTCAATTTTCAAATCTGAAACGACTGGCAGCAAGAGAGTAAGGTTTCATTCATTTCACCGATTCAATTTTAGAATTTAAGTTTTGTTACAGTAAAAAGTTCTCAGAAACAGTCACATTTAACTTTTTTGCTATAATAAAAAACTCTCACATAAAATCACATCTCAACTCAAATTAAAAACTCGAATTAAACGGGTCCTAAATGTTATCTCACATGCATTTAATAGTTATATAATATTCCATTAATTGGGTACCATTTGCACTTCAAAAAAAAAAGCTGCTGTTTGTGTATACATGCAAAAAATTAATGTGTGTGTGTCTATATATATATATATATATTGTACATAGTAACAGTATCAGTTCTCTGTCAACCCCTACATATTGAAATCTTCCACATGTTAAATATGTCTTTGATCTTTTTTATGTTGGTTTTCTAACTACACGGAAAAAGAAACGCCTAATAGCCCATTAATGACTAGATAAGCATGCCGAGATTTTTCCTAGGTCCTAATCGCTCGCATTCATTTTTTTTTTTTGTTTTTATCACTTGTTTAGAGAAACCCAAAAGAAACCAAAAAAACCAAGGAAATATATGTAAAGGCTAATTTCTTAGGACTTATTCGGTTGTATTTTTGAGTTATAGTGATTTGAGTGTAGATTTTGAGTTAAAGTTGAGTTATAATTTGAATTGAAATTGTAATTTGAGTTTGTGTTTGAATGTGTACATTTAAGTTATGGTTTGAATTGAGAATCTATTTGAGTTTATGTTTAGGTTGGTCAAAACTTGAATTTGTATTTAGATAGTATTTTAATAAAAACTCAATGGTGATGAAAAATTTTAATAGGGTATATGGATGGAGTTTTATTTGTCTATTCGTTGTGAACGCATAAAAAAATCATCTCAATCAGAATTAAAACGAAAAAATTATAGTGTTTTTAAGAATAGAAAAAATATTGTTTATTAACTTGAGTTGAAATGGGAACTTGAACTCAGGGTGTGTTCGGCTGCCTAAAAAACTCAAAAAAATGCAACTCGAGTTTCAACTTTATTCAAGTTTATGTTCTTTTAAGTTTGAACTCGAGTTTGGGACTAAAACTCGAGTTCAAGTGTCCCCTTCAACTCGAGTTCAGAAATTCAAACTCAAATTAATGAACATCATTTTTTCTATTCTTAAAAATGCTATAACTTTTTCGTTTTATTCCTGATTGAGATGATTTTTTTTCTATGCATTGACAACGAAAAAATGAATAAAATCCCACCTATATACCCTATAAAAATTTTTCATCAACATTGAGTTTTTATTAAAATACTGTCTAAATACAAATTTAAGTTTTGACTCATTCAAACACAAACTCAAAAAAAAATTCGTATCTCAAACCATAACTCAAATGTACACAACCAAACACAAACTCAAGTTACAACTTTAACTCAAGTTATAACTCAAATTCAACTCAAAAACTACACTCAAATCACACTCTAAAAGAACATACCCTCATATTTTAGCCCTAAACTTAAGTTTAAATTCAAGTTCAAACTCAAATTTAAACTCAAATTTTATAAAAGAATATGAAATTAAATAAAATTGTAACTTAAGTTCAAACTTTTTTTGAGTTTTGATCCAAAAAGAATAAGCACTATTTGTATGTGAGAGCCTTTTACTGTAGTAAAAAAGTTAGATGTGATTGTTTGTGAGAGTTTTTTACTATAGCAAAACTCGAATTCTAAACTCGAATCAGCGAAACGAACGAGACCGTCACGTGTGTATTTGATCTTTGGTGTTTTTTATGTGCGGACTCCTCTTTTTTTTTTTTATAGTATTTTATTGAGTTCATTCGTAGAACCAATTTATTTGTTTGTACTGCATTTTGTGCAATAAAAGACCATATGTGAATTGATGTATATCGTTTCATTTTGAAATATATATGTTTTCCCAATTCGCTTCAAAAGAATGTGAATTCTTTTATGTTTACTAAAATGCAGCTACCTGGAGATCCCTTTTTTTTTCTCACTTTTTTTATTTTGTTTTCCAAATATGAACACGAAATATCTTGAATCATATTGTATAGATAACAAAGAATTAATTAATATGATGCTGACTTTTTTTCCCGGAAAACAAATACATGTGCCCCGCACATACACCACATACGCAAATTAATTCATATAATATTAGATGGTCTTATAATTAGTTAATTATAGGAAGAAAGAGGGAAATAGATAAAGACTTGAGATAAATTAAAATTAATAGGTCAATAATTTATATAAGTTAATAAATATGCTAAATTACTGTTTTCGTCAATAACTTGTCTGGTTATGAACCATAACTTAACAAGTTATTGTCCATAATTTATCTGATTATAAACCCTAACTTGACAAGTTTATCCATAACTTATCTAGTTATAAACCATAACTTAACAAGTTATGATCTATTAATTTCTATAACTAAAAATTGGCCTATATACTTTCTTAAACTTTTCATATTGACTTATTTTCTACTATTTTCCTTAATTATATTATTTTATTATCTGATCGGTGACAATTATATATATATATATATATGTATGTATATATATATTATTCGCTGTCCATATGTTGGTAATTGTAACATGGTCGCAGGATACGTGTGGGAATTTCACGAAGTAAGCTGAACATGCATGTCTATTATTCGGCATAATTTATTTTTTTCTTACAGCTTAAGATAATTATAATATATATATATATATATATATCGGCCAGCTAATCAAGATATAGAAATATTATAAACAGAGAATTTCTTAATCATTTATTTATTGGAATAGATATGATCAGATCTGTAGGCCATGTGCAGCTGTGATGTGTTCATGATCTTATATATATGGAGAGATATGAATCACACTTTTATTCTTTTTTGGTTTTGATAAACCATATTATATGCTCAGACTTATGTTCTTAAACTAATATGTTTTGCATGTTTCACATGTCCTTTGGTCTTTGCTATCTAGTTCAAGATGAAGACATCCGTGCGTCGACGTGGACCCTCCAATTATTATATTTAAATGGGTGGACAGCCAGGCTTTGCTGCTGAGTCATAAATTAATTATTCACACACACACACACATAATAACATATATATATATATATATATTAGGCCCGTTCACTTCGGTGATTCGAGTTTGTAATTCGAGTTGAGATGTGATTTTGTGTGAGAGCTTTTTACTGTAATAAAAAAGTTAGATGTGACTATTTCTGAAAGCTTTTTACTGTAGCAAAACTTGAATTCTAAACTCGAATCGGCAAAATAAACGGGGCCATTATATTATATATTTTTCTGCGTCCTAGCAAATATATGTCATCTACCAGTTAAGTACCATCTCTAATTACACTTCGCTCTAATTAGAGGAGTAAGAGTAAGATTTACTGTCTCAGTAGTTATCTTTTTAATTGATTTTTGATATCTCATGAATTACTTTGAGTATTTTTAATATTTTATTTTTATTCGTGTGATTAGGTTCCTAAATTTAAATTACATGACAAATAATAATAAAGAGACAAACACCAAGACAAGAAAACGGGGACATCAGATCTAGACTTAAGAGTACGGTAACGAGTAAGCTCTTTTAGGGTTCCCTCGTCTAGGATATCTAGGAAAGAGAATCAATTTGGCTCTTACCAACAGCTTGACGCACTATCTTCTTTTAAAGTTCAACCCTTGAGCTAAATACGGCTATAAAAAAAAAAAAAAAAAACGGACCGACCCCATCGTCTCCACCTTATAGGAACTCCGTGTACTTAAAAAGTAAATATTTATTTTTATAACCTACTACTAATTATAAATATCATTGCGGTTCTAATTAAGTTTAAGTATTTTCTCACATTTTTTTTCTTTCTTTTCAAGGTACACGGTTTAGAAGGGTGATTTTATATGTCAAGAGACATGAAGTATATTTAGGGGAAAATGATAATGCGTATTTTTACTGAATTAGAACGTCTATACTTCAATAAAAGAAAATATATTAATTTACTAACCACAAAGAAAATATTAAAACACAACTTCCCCATATAATTATCAATTACAAAGAGCTAGGAAATTGGCCCCACTAGTCACTCATTGAAAGTTTACAAATGGCGTAGGTAAGTTTAGAGTACTTCTAGAAATTGCAATCAAAGGCAAATTAAATTAAGAATTAGAGCACATGACTAACCTTTAGAACTCTTGAATATGTATTAATCTTTTTTATTAAAAAAAGAAAGAAAGAAAAAGAAATCTACATTAATCTAGCGCAGCTCAATGGAACACTTTGCCCACTAGTCATAACAATATTTAAAGCAAATTTAGTTTTTCTTGGGGAAAATTTAGTAATTTATTTAGCTATGTACGGCTTTACATATTTTGTATAAGAAAATCTTTTTTTATACTTTCTTGTTAAACTGGAACAACGTGATTCCCGTGTATCATTATTCATATATGCAGGTCAAAATGTGACGGTTCACATACTCTTTCAATTTCATAATTGTATATATATATATATGTCTCGTTTAGTTTGTTAATTTGAGTTTTTAATTCGAGTTGGGATGTAATTTTATGTGAGTGTTTTTTACTGTAATAAAAAAATTAAATGTGACTGTTTCTGAGAGCTTTTTACTATAACAAAACTCAAATTATAAATTCGAATCAGCGAAATAAATGAAACTATATATAGTTCAAACACCGACAAACATGTAAATATATATTCTATGATAAATTATTGATCATATGATTCATATCATATTAATTCCATTGATTTGCCATGTTGTTTGAATAGAATAATGATAGTGATTGATGCGTTGGGACTCTCTCTTGGCTTTTTCTCAATTTATCCTTGCTTAGATAATTACCTACCAACCAACAGATTGATATTATTGATGGAAGTTTTCTTTTATCTCAGTCTCTCCTTTTCTTATGCAATCACGTCCTAACCGGTTTCTGTCACAAACAATTAGAGGATCTCCCACGAGATTTTTTTGTCAATTTGTCTTTGTCACTTTGCTCTCACAAGAAGTTTTGTTGCGACAACTCAAAGCTGAAAAATTAAGAAACTAAATTAAGGTCTCATTTATTTCACTGATTTAAATTTTTAATTTTAATTTTATTACAGTTAAAAGCTTTTATAAAAAATTATTTTTAACTTTTTTTACTACAGATAAAAACTTTCACATAAAATCACATCTTAACTCAAATTAAAAACTCGATAACCAATCATATTGTAATAACCTCCAAAGGAAAAAGAAATCATGTTTAAATATTATTTTCATGACAGCTATATAGTTATTATTACTAATAATAAGTGAAACGTTAATGCCAAGGAAAACCAATAATATGTTTATTTTACAAAAATAATAAATTAATGTATCGCTATTAACAATGTTTAGTCTCTAAGTTACAGACATCGTCATTGAACTTTTAATTTTGTCAATGGTCTTTAAACTTTTTTATTTTTGTTTTTGTTTTTTTTAATTTTTTTAGTTCTTGACATTAAAATTGATTGAAGGATATCTGAAATTTAACAGAAATAATCACATCCGTATTACATAATAATTAACGATATTACAGAAATTTTTACATTAAGTGCAAATTTTTCTAGTTTTCAAGGTTTTTAACAATAGTAAAGGGGGCATTTTTCATTGATTGAAATTATTTTTTGAAAATTTCATGTTATCACGTAATCCACACATGAGTATAGCTCTATTAAATTTCAGAAATACGTCATTAATTTTATTGTTTGGGCTTGAAACTGTTAAATAATAAAAGTTATAAAAAAATGTTAAAATTATAAGTTTAAGGACTAAAATAATGTTAAAGGGCTTATATATAGTGCTAATAAGTAATGGCCCTTTCGAGAATTATGAAACATTGGTTGTGTTTGGAGTTATTTTTGTTTTTATTTTTCACGTTTTTCAAAAAAAAAATAAAAATAGGAGAGAAATAACGTTTGACACAATTAAAGCTAAAAAAGGAAGTGAAAATGATATTTTGATTTAGTGTAAAATGAGAGATAAATGAAAAATGAATTTTTTCATTTTTTGTTTCTGTTTTCTCTTCTCTCGAGCAGAGAGAGAGACATTAATGGATTTTTTTATACTAAAAACAATCTTTTAATAAAACTATCAAACGCATTTTCAAAAATGATTTCTATATGAAATTGAAAACGTTTTCATTTTTATTTTCATATAAAAAAATAAAATTATTTTAAAACGAGTTTCAAACGCACTCATTATTTCACAAAGTATTCATGTTCTTTTAGCAAATAATAATAATAATAATAATAATAATAATAATAAAAGACCAATACTTGTAAGTGGTTTATTAGAGTGATATTTATTGCCATGCCATTAATCAATTTCATGTTTGTTAATGCATAATAAACACAATCGAACTTCCATGGGATTAAAAAAAAAAAAAACCGATACAAACAGAAAATGATCCTTAATTAAACCATTTATTCGATGCAATAAATGGCCATATGTTACGTAAAATGAAATATAAAAGGAAAACTGTAGTAAATACACATGAAATTATAAGTAAAACGTTAGCAATTTTTTTTTCATTTTGCGGATATAATTTCATAATTTGTTTTATTTATTTATTTATTTATTAATCATGCGTTTCTTTCATTTTGCTCATATGAACGTTAGCAAGTTTTATGCAAAATAAACGTCTTGATAAGAAGATAAATCCAAATAATTGGAGTACTCTCGGTTATCGTTCATTTTATAAATTTGAGTTTTTAATTCGAATTGAGATATGATATTTTTTAAGAGCCTATTTAGTTCGCTGATTTGAGTTTTTAATTCGAGTTGAGATGTGACGTTATATGAGAACTTTTTACTGTAGCAAAAAAATTAGATGTGACTGTTTCTGAGAGCTTTTTACTGTAACAAAACTCGAATTCTAAACTCGAATCGGTGAAATAAACGGGGCAAAAGAGTTTTTAACTATAGTAAAAAAAATTAAATGTGATATTTTTAAAAAAATTAAAAATTAAAAATTTAAATCAGCGAACAGATTAAACTAATTTTTAAAAAATTATGAATATTTATGAAAATATCTATCTATCTTATACGTTAAAAAAAGCTCTATTAGTAAAGTTATATTTAGTTCAACTTTATGTACGTTTTTATCGATGTGGTTCCTACATGGCACTGAAACCTCCTCTGATTTAAAGAAGTTGAAAATTTTGGCACATCACGAACGAATTTAGGGCATTTTCGTCAAGTCAAAAATTGATTTCCAACTGTAGGGGAATGAATCATCAGGGGTGAAGGACAGAGGGAGTTGGTGCTGAAACTAAAAAGGTAACTGAAAACGTCGGGGAGAGAGAGAGAGAGAGAGAGAAACAGCAAGAAAATGTACAGTTTTCTTGAAAAGCTCGGTTCTCTAGGAAGTAGTCGCTCTGAAACAATCTCTTCAGTTTCGGAGGACAACAACAACGGATCAATGGCCACCATCATCGTACCTGATGTCGTTCCTTCTCCCGTTGAAGACTGTCAACGCCTCCACAAAGCTTTCGAGGGTCTCTCTCTCTTCTCTCTCTCTCTCTCCTCTTTCATTTCTATAGATTATTTGTAGTGTTTCTTCTTCTCTGTTTTCTTTCTCAGCTCTCTGCTTTTTTTCCTTCCGCTAATCATTCTTTTTGCACTAATATTTGAAACTTTTGTGAACACAAACAAATTTATTAATTATAGCCAATTTTGTTTACATCTCGCAGATTTTATGCTATTTTATTTCATTTCGTTTTGTTTGTTTATTGTTTTCCAGCCCCAGAGAAAGTGATTTGCAATTGAAGTTTGTTTTTTTTTTCCTTTAATTGTTGTTTTTTTTTTAATCCTGAACGTTTAGGATTAGGAACGGATGAGAAGGACTTAATAAAGGTATTAGGACACAGAAATGCAAGCCAAAGGAAGGAAATTAGAGAGACGTATCTGCAGCTTTATAATCAATCCCTCATTGATGCTCTCCAATCTGAGCTCTCCGGAGATTTTAGAGTATAATTTTCTCCATCCTTTTTTTCTTCTCTAATATATATATATATATATATTGCAAAGAAGAAGTATTCATATATGTATGTGTTTTTTTTTTTTTTTCTATGTGCATTGTTTTATTATCTATTGGTTTTGGTGCTGAATTGAGGATGCTTTTTTTTTTTTTTTTAAATGCCCAACATCTCCATGAAATTCTAAAGAAATTTGTGAAATTCAATTGTTGATGGGAAAGAGAAAGACTAAGGAAGGAAAAGGGAGAGAGAAACACAATTTAAATACTCTTCTAAACTCGAATCGGCGAAATGAAGGAAGCACTGTACTATTATTCTTGTCTCACTCTTTACTGCAAAGATAAATGGTAAATCATTGTCTTCTGGTGATGACGTTTTTTAAATGATTTTGTTTTTAATATAAAAATAAAAACAAGATTGTTTTAAGAATCATTTTAAAATTGATTTTAAAATTGTATTTAGTTGATTTTTTAAGAGATTATTTTAAGTATAATGAAAAAATAAAATTGTGTTTTGTTATAATTATTAATTAATATATTATAACATTATTGATAAATATTAAGAAATGAAAACATAAAAAAGAAAATAATTTTAAACCGTTTTTTAATTCTTTCACAAAAATTATTCTTCTTGTTTTTTATTTTTATTTTCGTTTTCATTTTCAAAATATTTATTAAATAAACACGGTTTGAAGACCGTTTTCATTTTCACACTTTAAAAGGTATGTAAAAATATTTTTAAAAACAAGCAAAAATCAATTTCAAATGCACTCATGCTACTCTCCTATGTTCCTTTTCCTTTTTTTCTCCTTTAATCATACTTGAGAAAAGTTCTCCCTTATCTCTTCAATGTGTCTTTTTTTTTTTTTGAAAAAGGTACGGAAGTCTGTTTAATATTTATTCATTTATTTATTTTCTACGAATAAACTCCTATTTCTAAAAATTATAACTCATACCTCAATTTGAATTTTTTGCAAATACTACCTTTATCACCGTCATATGGGGAAAAAAAAGTCAAAATTCCAAAAATGACCTTATTAAACCTTATAGTTGTGCCATATAAAGCCTTGCAAGCACACATCCTCCAAGATGCCTATTATTGTCCTAATATTTTAAGAAATCAGCTCTTAATTAAAAACAAAAAAGCTACTGAGTTGGTTTACTTGTTTTGTTTCCCTCAAAAAAAAAAAAGAAAAAAGAAAGAAGATGCCAGCTGTTTTGTAATTTTATTAAAGGGTATTTTTTACATTTCACTGGATAATTTTGAAACTGCAAAGATTTCACATGATGATGAATTAGAGTTGTAATGTAATGTACTTGGGAAGAATTTGGCTGATCCATGAACAATTATGAATCACTATATCATCATTGCTATTCTGGAATAACACCATAAGTTATATCTCTTCTAAGTGATTTTTGCAAATGGGAAATTTTTTTAGCATACAAACTGGGCATAAAACTAACTGGTTTCTGATTTGAATGTATGTTATACAAGGACCTAGTTCATTTAAATGCATTGGTCTGTGTTATGATATCTCTAGCATTGATGTGTAACAGAAAGCAATTGTTTTGTGGACAATGGATCCTCCTGAAAGGGATGCGAAACTGGCGAATGAGGCCCTGAAAATGTGTAAGAAAGGCGTTAAATACCTCAAAATCATAATCGAGATAGCGTGTGCAACATCTCCGGACCACTTGATGGCTGTGAGGCAGGCATACTGTTCTCTCTTCCATTGTTCATTCGAAGAGGACATTGCATCCCATGTTTCTTCCCTTCCTCTTAGAAAGGTAAAAGCATAGTGTCTTAGAAACTTTGATATTAGCCAATGACAATGGATGCAGTTAGTTTGAAGTGAGATATGTTTGAATGTCTGCATATTTTGGTCTGATTTATAACTTTTACTTGCAACTTATTCTCTAATCTCTCCTGTGCTTTAGAACAATTCAAAGTAACCAAGAAGGTTACTTCAAATAATATATAGTAGGAGACTATTCCTTCACTTGAGATGTGCATATTACACCTTAAGATTACACTATTTGTGATTTACTTCCGCATTAAATCTCTGATCTGCAAGATTCTCAATAAGTTCTGGCTCTCAAAACCATTACATGATGTTTCAGTTAGTATGTGTTTGACTAATAAATGAGTAACTTGATCAATAAGTGCAAGAAAAGTAGAAACATAAGTAAACTGATTTTAATAGTATGCCAGTCGAATGGCATTTATTATTTACATCCATTTGAAACAAGTTATATTAGAGTTGAGAAGAAAAGTGAGAGAGAAGAATTGCACTTTATAAGGTATTAGGCTTCCAGGTTACCCTGTTTAAGTGGTGTGGCCCAATATGCTTATATGGCTATGATTATATTTGTATTTAGACGATTTGGGACTAGAGCATTTTACCCTTAACACGTCCCTGCAAGATGGTGCTCTGTTAGGAGTCACCAATATTGTATTTTTGATGGATCGACCCAGCTCGTTTTAGGAGGTGGGCCAACAATAATTTTATACTTTAGCAAGTTATTTGCCTTGAGGTTAAGGCTTGAATAAATTCACATACATTTTTATAACTTCCTTCCTCTCAAAACAAGCCTTTGACATTTGTGCTTCTATGATTCAGTCTGACAAGGAGGGTATAAAAGATGTATCTTATTGACATTTAACATGCATATTTCACAGCTACTAGTTGGTCTAGTGAGCTCCTATAGGTACGAACGAGAGGTTGTGGATTTAGCTATTGCCAATTCGGAGGCATCGACGCTAAATGAAGCTATAAAGACAAAGAAGTTAGATCAAGACCATGTTGTATGGATACTCAGCGTTCGGAATTTCTATCAGCTAAAAGCAACCTTTGAATGTTATGAGAAAAACTATGGAAACGCCATTGACAAGGTAATTGCCTCAAGAAAGTATTCTTTTTGGTCCTTTTGTATTTATTTTCATTTTGGGGAGAAATCATTTGGCAAATTTTCTGGACAGGACATTAAGAGCAGTGGGAAGGGTGATCTGCAAAATCTATTGGGAGCAGCCATTTCTTGCATAGAATTAACTGAGAAACATTTTGCAGTGGTAAGATCATTCCCTCCGTACAAACAAAATCAGATTATTAGTAGTTTGTGGCTCTGATATTAACTAAATGTGAAACTTTAGTCCTAACGAGAGTGTTGCTCTATTTGCATTGTCTGTAATGGAACTCTTGAGCTGTGTTTGGTAAGAGGGGAAGAAAATAGGAAGAAAAGAACGGTATATACAGGTGAGGAAATGGAGAGAATGGGAAGCAACGTTCTCTTAATTGTGTTTGGTATGGGCTCCCTCCTTTAATAATCTATTGATTTTGGGAGAGATTAAAATTGGGGTTCTTGAAGGATTTCAAATCTCCTTAATCTCTTTCCTAGTCTTTTCTCTCCTACCAAACAAACATGGATCCCAAAATCCTTCCATACTCATAAATTGCTTTTGCAACTTGCAAACAGTCACTAATCTCCTTTATACTTCCTCAATGTGAGAGAAAGCCGACAAGAAACAGCAAGTGTACGACGATGTGAAATGAGATCCATAAGTGGTAACCCAAGTAAACCTCCCTTATTCCTAGGATAGGGAACCGTGGCGCAAAGAAAGTATTAGACTAGTCACAGCCTGATTTTTTCTGTTGTAGCACTATGTTATATGGCCGAAACTCTCCAACTTTCGAAGAATTTTTAAGGCACTCTTCGACAAGTCAAGGAAGAAAATCAAATGTGACAAATGGGAATGGGATTCTTCGCATATGTTCATATAGTAATTTATACCTGGTAGCTTAACTTCACATATTCGGCCATTACTTGGTGCAAATCTTATTCAGTTGACTGTTAGATAGGTTGATGTAAGCTGTAAATAAATAACGATTACGGGCACTTGTTGAGAATTATGGATGGCCAAAAGTTCAATATTTTACTTGGAAAACCAGGAATTAGGAAGCTACTACTCGAATCAACATGGATTCTTAGCATCAGATTGTCTTTCCTTTTTGAGTCTCGTTCTCTCCCACTCCAGTTTGCTTTTCTTTTTGTTACTTCGAAAGTAGCTGCCTCAGCTTCAGCCACTCGAATTTTCGACATTCCTTTTTATTTCTCATCAAACGAATGGCATCTTCTTCTGGAAATCTTAGCTACTTAGCATGATATTGGGGAGTCTCGTTCTCTAGTCTTCATTTACAGTTTTCAGCGTGAGCTGTTATTTCTTGATATGGAGAACTGAAGTATCTTGTTCTAACAACCATCTTTTACTTGAACTTTCCTTTGTTTATGGTTAACTGTCACCAGGTTATCAAAGAATCCGTTGCTGGGCTTGGAACCGATGAAGACTCCCTAACTAGGGGTATTGTGACTCGAGCTGAAATCGACATGGTGAGAATCAAAGAGCAATATCGCCTCCTCTACAAAGGCAGCCTCGACGCCGATGTGATTGACGACACGTCGGGAGACTATAGAGACTTCTTGATGACCTTACTTGGAAAAGGAATCTAATGCATTCAACGCATAAGCACCTCTGCTTTCATGTCTTTGGTGGTGACCTTTATAGTGGCATTTGGAGTCAAAAGTTCTATGGCTGTGTAAGAGAAATAAAAGGTTGAGACCTTGAGATTATGTGATTATTCCAAAATTGGTCATTTGTAAAGAATGTTCAAAGGTTTGTTATTCCTTCATCATACTTAGACTTGGAAAAATTATTTGCATGTGTTACTTAATGGGAACTGCAGATGAATCTCAGTATTACTTGTACAGTTGGTTGCAATTTAATGAATATATTTAGGCCTCGTTCACTTTACGGATTCGAGTTTTCAATTCGAGCTGAGATGTGACATTTTCTGAGAGCTTTTCATTGTAGCAAAAAAAGTTAGATGTGACATTTTCTGAGAGCTTTTTACTGTAGAAACTTAAAACTGAAAACTCAAATCGGTAAAATGAACGAGGTCTTAGAGCACAAAATTAGACAGACTCTATGCAAATATGTGGAAAAAGCAGACCTTTTGTTATAATTAATATTTATTTTTTAATGAATAGGACTTCATTAATCATAAAACATAGAAGTAATAAGAGAAAAGTGAGCTAAGCTCGATGTTAGGAATAACCTTAACAGTGCATTTGGTAAGAATGAAAGAAAATAGATAAGAAACAAAGAGTGTGTTTAGAACTCGTTCTAAAATGATTTTGTTTTTTGTATGAAAATGAAAATGAAAACGTTTTCAATCTCAGACAGAAATCATTTTTAAAAATTCATTTGGTAGATTTATTAAGATATTATTTTCAGTGTAAAAAAACTCATTAATGTGTCTCTTTCTCTCTCTCTACTCGAGAGATGAGAAAATGAAAACAAAAAATAAAAAACGACTAAAAGTCATTTTTTATTTCTCTCTCATTTTACACTAAACTAAAAAATTGTTTTCATTTATGTTTTTTATCTTTGTTGCGCCAAACGCTGTTTTGAAAAGTTTTCATTTTTTTCTTGAAAAATATAAAAAATAAAAATGGAATTAATTTCAAACACGGCCAAAAGGTATATAACTTTTCAAGTAAAATAAATAAATAAAAAAAACATAAAAAAAAACAAAGGTATGTAACTTAATTAAGTGAGGAAAGTGTGGAGGCACGACGATGATAAAGCCCTGAATTTTTATCTTGCGTAAGTTCACTTTAATTTTCTTGACTGTTTTCCCAATTGTATTAAGTGAAATTAAGCATCTTTTTACATATACTATCGTTAAATCGGCCCGTTTAGTTCGTTGATTCGAGTTGATATGTGATTTTATGTGATAGTTTTTTACTGTAGTAAAAAAGTTATATGTGACTGTTTCTGAGAACTTTTTATTGTCGTAAAACTTAAATCGGTAAAATGAACGAGACCTACAAATGTTAGAATTATACTCTAAAATTGGAGTTCGCAATTCAGGATCAGTGACAATTCTCTAAAGATGGTAATCCACCTTATTTGATTTAGTATCATTGTCACGTAATTTTATTGGAAAATTTGCTTGATTTGAATTTAAGAAAAACGTGTACAGCTGTACAATTGTGGATAATGAGAGATTTTAGGAGTTATCTAGGCCTCGTTCATTTCACCGATTTGAGTTTTCAGTTTTAGGTTTTTACAGTAAAAAAACTCTTAGAAAATATCACATCTAATTTTTCTGCTACAGTGAAAAGCTCTCACGAATTGAAAACTCGAATCCGCAAAGTGAACGAGGCCCTAGTTGATATAAGAATGCCTGATTTGTAATTTTGTGTACAGGGATAAATATACTCTACAATGTAACATTTTATTCAATTAATAAAATTCTTTTTTCACCTTCACTACCCCATAAGAATTAGAGAGTCTTCCGCCTTTATTTTGAAATAGTTTACAATTTACAATTAATAGTTCATTCTTATCTTTATTTTGACAAATCTGACCGTAAAAATCTCGTTGTCTACACACGACTTCATCATAAGGCTAGAGTTCAAACCCCTACCTCATAAGCGAAAAAAAGTGAAACAAACCGTTTTGTTAGGGGTATAAGAAAAAATGTGTTTAAGTAGAAACAAATTTGAGAATAATTATTTCAGTAAGGAAATTAGAAGGAAAAAATTGAAATTATTAGCACAACTTAAAAAAAAAATACCTTTTAAGAAAACCACATGAAAAGAATATTTAAGTAAAAGCACATTTGGGAAAATATATTTTAATTGGGTAATTAGAAAAGATATTAAATAAGATATAAAATAAAGAAAATACACGTCACAATAATTTTTTTAAAAATAAAATTTTGAAAATGACACATTTAAAAGTACATAATATTTTAGGGTCGTTTGTTAGATATATTTTAACTCAAATTATTGATTCTAACACAGTGTTTTCCTTTCACAAAAAATTTAAATTTTAAACGTTAGAATCAAGAATCATGGTTTGAGTGTACCTTCTAAACAGACCCTTAATACATAATCTTAAAAAGGAAATAAAATTAAGATTAAAACGAATAAATAAATAAATTTTAAGATAAAAATAAAAACTAATAAAATAAAGGACGCAAAATGGGAGGCTTTCGACCAAAAACGTGATTGGTCAAACCGTATTTGATAAGCAATCGTGAAATTTTCCAATTTTAAAAGACAAAAAGGAACATATTTAGGGCCCGTTTAGTTCGCTGATTCGAGTTTTTAATTTGAGTTGAGGTGTGATTTTATGTGAGAGTTTTTTATTGTAGCAAAAAAGTTATACACTACAAGAAAAAGGGGTTTTTACGACGACAAAAAGTCATCGTAAAAACCCGCATGTCGTCGCAAATAACGTTTTTTGTGACGACACGACGTCGCAAATTTGTCGGTGCAAATAATTCGTCGCAAAAACTCTTTTTGCGACAACATAGTGTCGTCGCAAATATATTTGCGACGACAATTGTCACTAATACGCCGTTACAAATTTCTCGTGATATGATCCATTTTTTGCGACGACATTTCAAATTGTCGTCGCAAATAATCTTATTTTTTTACGACGACAAGTCTAAAAAAGTCGTCGCAAAAAACTGAAATTAATTATTTTTTATAATTTTTTAAAAATGGCAATTAATTAATTTTTAATATTTTTAATTAAATATTATTATGTTACATACTGAATAGAATTTATTAAGATACATTAAAAGTGAAATATAAATTAATATTAAAAATAATAAATCTAAATAAATTTATAAAATATATTATGAATACTACATGAAGTGCATATATAATGTTCAAAAAAATATAAAAGTCTAAATAAAGTGAAAAATAAAAAAGTACATATAACGGAACTAATCATCTAAGTTAGCAGCATCACCAGCATCTGAATCATCATCAGGACTGTCATCATCTGAAGGAGGCAGAGGAGCGTCTAGGTCAACAAGTTCTGGACGATCAATCGTAGGTAATTAGATGTTGGGCTGCAATTTAGCTACCAACTCTAACACCTTCACCTAATTCTCATCAATCTTAACTTGTTCCCGATACGATTTCTTTAAATAACAACTCATACGTGGGTCAGGTTAAGCCGATGATGTTGCGTTCGAGTATGAACTAGCAGATGAAGGAGAAACCCCAGAGTAATGCTTTTGGGAGAGCGTCGGACCCACTCTTATCTTATGTCCTTTACGCATGCCAAGAACTTGCACTAAAACCCCATGCTCGTCAAAGGCGAGTCTAGTCGAGCTTGAAGTAGACTATGTTCTCTGCGTTTGTCTCTCTTCCTCCAGGGTGTTTTACATAATAAGACATTATAATTGTTTATACGTATTCTAAAACCACTATTTCAGTATAAAAAAATTTAATATGAAAAATAAAAATACTTACAAAAGTCTGTTCCGCTTGGGGATTAACCCAAGAGGCCCCGCGGTGATGCATATCCCCCCAATTGTCTATGACAGACATTGACTCTTGGGTCTCCGTACTGACCTGTCAAATAAATTACATTTGTTAAAATTCTTAAATTCTAACTAAATTTCGGCAACATAACGGCTTATTTTTCATATGATTCAAAAATCTAAACCTGTAAAAAAATAACTTTAAAACATTTCGGCACACCGTAGCTGCAAGATGTGCCACCCAGAACAATAATCACAAACATATAAGTACAATAATGAAGTCAAAAAATAACTTTAGAATAATGACTTCGTTTTAATGAAGTGGAAAAAATAACTACTAACCTTCTTATTGCGATGCCGAGAGTACGATATCCGACCATGTAAGCTTGGATACTCCTGGTTGCTACGATTAGTTTTATTTGTCTCTAATATTTTCTGTTTATGATTAACTATAATAAGTAATAGTTACTTGAAATTATGTATAAAAAACATCAAGTTGTAACAAATCTATAATTACTTGAAATTTGTCACCGGAGAACCTATCACAACAACGATCCCAATGAAGTGGATTCCTCATGTTACTCGGGAGACTGTCTCTACCATAGCGTTTGAAGTGGCGGGGTAGGGAACTTTTTTAGTCCTTGTAGTACTTTGCTGCCTCCCTATCAACTACGGACCTCAGAATACCGTTCTTATAGTTGTAGTCGATGTTAAACCAGTTCTTGCAAAATAATTTCACATCGTTAAAACGCATTGTTGTGCTTAACTTTAGTATAAACTATACAAATTATTAAGCAAAACAAATACCGGCATCCGGTTCTGAATTGTCCTATTGTCTATGTCGCTAATGTCATTCCAAGCATCGTGGAAGGGCTCGCATATGTCCCTGGTATGAATACCAACTGCACTATCAAACCAGGCACCATATTTACCAAGCGTCTTCCAAGTACCTCTCGCCTCATCAAATTCTACTGTGATTTTTCCGTCTTGAAGGACATTTTGGGCGATTTCATAACCTTTCGCCCCACCTCGACCTCTACGTTGTCGAGGTTCAGGTGCTGTAAGCATATGTAAGCATTTCAAATCAACATATACTACTACATTTATTTATTATATGATAGAATGGGAAAAAAGTCAGAATAACATACCCGACTCACAGAATACGGGGAGTCTGTGAGGACCGGAAGGAGGCTGCGCTCCTCCTGAAGAGCCAGCACAAGTCGCTACCGGACTTGCCATGAATGCCTGTGAACTAATTCATATTAATAACAATATTTATAAATTCACAGAATATCATAATATTAAAACGAAATCATGAGAAAAACAGTAATTACTATACATAAATTCTCGTTTTCTAACTAAATTTCGGCAGCATAACGGCTTATTTTTCTTATGATCCAAAAATCTAAACCTGTAGAAAAATAACTTTAAAAGATTTTGGCACACCATAGCTGCAAGATGTGCCACCCAGAATAAGAATCATAAACATATACTAAATTTCAACAATATAAGAAAAGCATAACTCAAATATCAAAATCATAATCCTGAATGCTCACAACCAAAAACTACAACAATTTTAAACTAAAAGTACAATAAATATAAAAAATTTACAAAGTTCAAACCCACTAAACGGGGGCTGAAAATAGTGGGATTACGTCGGAGGAACCGTGCAAACAGCGACGAATGCAAAAAATTAAACGCCTACATCAAATTGAAACATCTAACATAATTTTCAAACACCAAAATTAACATTTTATTAACATCTAGAGTAACATATAGACACAATTCTTCATTAATCAATGCAACTTTAAATTTTCACATTCTCGGAACCATAAAAAATGACTAAACTCGAACAAAATTCCCAAACAAAATCCCTAATATTCAACTCCTAGTGGATCAAAATTCTCATAACTCAATCCAAACACATACTCGATAAGCAAAATAAGAGCAATAAAATTTTCTCTAACGTGCACGTTGGATCTTCCATTTTCCATTTTCTTCTTCCATTTTCTCGGCAACCAAACAAAATTTACAAAAACAAAAAAAGGAGAAAACCCAAACCTCTTCGAAATCCTGGTGGGGGTGGGGTGGCGGGAGCGGGACGGCGGCGGCGGCAGGAGAGGGGAAGAAGAGAGAAGGGATCGGAGGAGAGAGAGAGAGAAGAGGGCCGGCGGCAGGGGCGGCGGTGACGGGGAGAGGAGGGAGAGAGAGAGATTTTGCAGGAGAAAGAGAGAAAACGTCGGGGGAAAATGAAGAAGAAGAAGATAAGGTATATTAGATCAGACTTATTTGCGACGACATTATCGTCGCAAATAATTTTAAAATGTCGTCGTAAATATCTCACAGCTAGCAATTATTTGCGACGACATTATATCGTCGCAAATAATTTTTGAGTCGTCGCAAATAATCATTTTTCTGGCGTTTACTTTTTGGTGAAATTTTAAAAAGATTATTTGCGATGACAAAGAGACATTTGCGACAACAAATGTCGTCGCAAATATCTTACTATTTGCGACGACTTATCATCGCAAAAAATGGATTACCTTAGTGCCAAAAATCCGCGCCATTGAAGTTTGCGCTCCAAAATTATTTGCGATGACATTTAAGTTATTAGCGACGACATGGTTACTTCATTTAACGGGAATTAATTGTGAGGACATGTCGTCGCAAATAACATGTCGTCACAAATATTGTATTATTTGCAACAACATTTGTCGTCGCAAAAAAAGTCGTCGCAAATGGCCTTTTTGTTATAGTGATACGTGACTGTTTCTGAGAGTTTTTTACCGTAGTAAAACTTGAATTCTAAACTCGAATCGATGAAATGAATGAGACCGGTTTCATTTACAGTTTTACTCATATATATATATATATATATATATATCATCACGTTAGTCTCTCACACTCTTTACCTTTTGGTTACGGTTTCAGATTCACTCTCTCACTCTCGCTCTTCAAAAAACTGAGCCTACAAATCGCTACCTTTTGGATGCCAGGAAAATGAACCTTTGAACCAAAAGGCATTCAATGTTTCTGGATTCCCGGGCTCTGCAGTTAAAAAAAAAAAAAAAAAAAAAAAAAAACTGTTATGACCTTTTTGAATTCGATGTTTCTCTCACTCTATATATTATCAGGTTTTTGAAATTCTTACCTTTTTGACTATAAGATTTGTAGGCTCTCTCACTGTCGCCAATGTCACACTACTATCAGACGCCGGAGAAGGTGAATCTGAAACTCTCTATTTGTTTCTCTCTCCTAGGTTAATTTTTCTACTTGTTTAGGCCTCGTTCACTTTGCGGATTCGAGTTTTCAATTCGAGCTGAGATGTGACATTTTCTGAGAGCTTTCACTGTAGTAAAAAAAGGTTAAATGTGACATTTTCTGAGAGCTTTTTACTGTAGAAACTTAAAACTAAAAACTCGAATTGGTGAAATGAACGAGGCCTAAGCAACTCTCGCGATTTCTCTACATCTGATTGTATCCCACGCGAATTTGCGATTTCCAATTGTTTCCATTTTCCTTTAATGTAAATAAATGCGTTTCATTTGGTCCTCGTTTCTTTTATTTTGATTGGAAACATCTACTTGAAAGAGGTTTGATGTTCTCATTTAATCTCTTTTCTATAATCAGCTGAACGAATGATTTTTTTTGTTGTAATTTTGTATTGTTGATAATATGTTTATAGGATATGTCCAAAAAATGATAAATATGTTTATAGAATACTAGGGTTCATATGTAGCTTAGCCATTCTAATGGCTATTTAATCCAGAATTTATATCGTAATCATAAATCTTAGCATCAGAATACAGATTCTGATCTGATAGTAAATCGTTGATCTACATTGTTAGCTTGAAACAATAGCCATAATACAAAATTAACAATAAACGAAATGAATGTCATGTTACATCTCTTACCTCTATATGTTACAACACAGAAACTGTGACCAAAGACATATGTTAAAAGTAATTATTAGATAAGATGTTGTTATTAAATATCTAGCAATCTAAACACACGTATGTGAGAAAGATGAGGGAGTTACAACCTCTTATACCATTAATATCAAATTGGTATTTTTTAACGAACAAAATGGTGAATCTAAAGAATTAAGAGCGGGACTTAAAAGAGATTAATATTACGATTTGAATTAGGATGTTGAAAGTTTTCATCAAACATGTTTTTTGGTCACTAATTTTATACAATCATCATTAAAATGAGCGATTGTAACTGTCTTGCAAATTGCGGAAATTCGTCAAAATTAGAAATCAGTTCAAGGTATAAATGTGCAAGTATATATCTTAAAACTGCGATATACATATTTCCTTTTACATGTCATCATAATATTTTTCAAAAGACATAAAAGGAATTGCATATGCTTGACGAACATGCACCATCTAAGGAAATGTTTTTTTTAAAAAGAATCAACCTTCAGAAAAGAGACGGGAACAGCCTTAAAAAATATAAGAATATTGTGTCGATTAATAAAGTTTAACGTGCGCGTCAATAACTCCAAAAACTAAAAAGCTCGTGTTGGTTTTTATAAACTAAAAAAAAAAGGAGATTTCTAAGGTAGGTCTTAAAATATTAAACTATTAGTAATTTTCTATCTTTAACCAGTAAAAATGTAATATAAACTATTTAAACTGTATATTTTTTTTTTTATTTTAATGTGATTTTGATTAGATTTAATAATCAGAAAAAGACACTTTCGGTAAGAGCCGAAAGGCAATGAGCGCCTAATTTCTACAGATTCAGTTTCTTAAAGAATAATAATCATGTTTATTCAATAGATAAAGAAAATGAAAAATTTATGGTAAGAAGCAAGGCAAATTAAAAAACAAAACAAAACAAAACAAAACAAAATGCCTCCAATGCAGCGCAACTTTGGACATTCATATATCATATCAAATTCGTATCAAAATGAAAAAAAAAAAAAAAGAACAAAAAAAAAAAACAAACAAATGTCCAAATATAACAAAAGATTAGGAACGCAACGCAGTATCGGGAAGGTACTTTTCGTACAATACAAACAAATTCACAAAAAAGGGGGCAAAATTATGTATATTTTTTTTTATCATTAGGCTTTCCAACTTCAAGTAAAATGTGATTCACAACGCTAGCACCTTCTCTCTCTCCCTCCTACTTTTGAGAAAAAAATAAATCTTTATTGATAGAGAAAGAGAAAAACAAAGAATGTATTTATTTTGTACAAAGAACCAAAAACAGCCCTTTTTCTCAAAACAAAGAAATAAGTAAAGCTCTTAATGAATATTTACATAATGAATTCTATACCCCCCCCAAAAAAAGCATAATATATCTCATCCTTTTCTGTAAAACATTCCTTGTATATTGGATTTGTATGAAACTTTTTAGTATAATGCACCTGAAGGATGGACCCCAGGATACTAATTTTAGCAAGGCATGTGGTTGGTCACATGATACAGCAGCTCCCTTGATCCCTATAGAAAAGGATGAGATATAAAATTTTGATGTTCCTAAGGTTATCTTCTGTAGTGAGTTTCTTTAATACAGATTAGAAGAATTCCTTAGTAAAGTACTGAAAAAAAAAATCGTACTTTTCGTTTTTGATATGATTCTAATGCGATCTGGCGGTAAAAAACTGTGTAATATCATTAGGGTATTCCATTTTCAAGTAAGAAATATTTGCACATACTTCTTTATGTCTCCGTAATAGCTCAAAGCATCCTCAAACTTAAGCCAGATTGGACCGGCATCCTGAAAATTGACATCCTTCGGCCCCACCATGTAAGCCTGGACTACAAACTGTGGAGTTCTTTCCCTGCATTTCAATTATTAGTCAAATTTAAGGGCCCGTTTAATTTGCTAATTCGAGTTGAGATGTGACTTTATGTGAGAGTTTTTTACTGCAGTAAAAAAGTTAGATGTGACTGTTTCTGAGAGCTTTTTATTGTAGCAAAACTCGAATCGGTGAAATAAACGGGACCTAAGTTAATCATGTATACCAACTAATTTAATCCCCCAAAAATAATAATAGTAATAACAATAAACCGCATACCTCCCTTCATATTCTGATAGCCATATGAAATAGGCTGTGCCGAAGTACATGGACACGAATGGTTTGGTTAAGTCCTCGACGGAATCAACCTTGTAGGCCCTGAAACCCAACTCCCTGTGCACAAGAACAATTTTTAAAGACACTTCACAAATTTGTTAACAATTATATATGAAGGGTTTGATTGAAATTTCTGCATGTGTTCATCTAAATAGTTCTAAGTGACATTGGACATACATGTAAAGCCAGAAAGCTGTAGAATAGTCCATTCCCATTATCCCAACACGTGGTCCGACACCATGGACAAAGCGCATGCTAACAACCTCCGCAAGAGCACAAAGAACTGTCTGCACCATTCGGTCTCAGGAATAAGATAGTAGCAAAATAGAAGGCAATAAAAAAGGAACTGCAGAAACATGATAACCGGCGAAGATACCACAGAAAATTCAAAAATGAAATGCTAGATATTAGATAGTTTCTTCTCCAAGCCACAGGTGAAAATTTTAACTATAGAAGTGCTAGCCTACATTCCCACTGTTCTTTTAACTAGTTGAAGTTTTATAGCTGACTGACTTGCAGAACTATCATATAAACGAATAGATTTTGCAGCCGAAAAGAAGACATGTCCTAAAATTTCTGGCCAAGTGAAAGAATTTCTATTTTGTTATAGAAAAATGAGCATATCGCTTTATCATTTGAAAATGTGGGTTCATGAGACCAACGGAAGTTAATACAGATACTTGGACCGAACAATCTAGTTCAGATTGCCTGAAAATGTTTGGACCAAATATATATACAAGAAGAAAATAGAATCAAAGTGGCCTGAACATGTTTGAACTTTGAAGGCTCGCAAAGGACTCACAAACTTGCAGCAAATTGAATAGCCACTCAATCCACTTGAAGTCAAGAATGAGTATCTAAAGAGAGAGCTTGAATAAGAAGTCTATATGAAGCTCCCACGTTCCCGGGCGTTGAATTTTATTTTTGCATTTCAAACCTATCAAACACTATACAACTGTCTAAAATGCAGTGAAGGTGGAACAAGGGAATAACCTTCTTGGTTGAGACCGCACATAAAAATGACATTGCCATAAAAGGACAAGGTAATATTTCCATTTATTTATGAAAAGAGCCGTATCCTTTGAAGCCAGAATTGATTTTCCTTGATATCGAACATAATGCATGAAGAGATCCTCAAAGAACCATAAACTAGTCTGAGAATTATTAGCACAGACTTCTACGGGATGTTTTATTTTTCCATATAAATATATTCGCTCAAAAAACCCCCAGAAGATGTTAATGGTAAATGAGAAGATCGGTTACGCAGAAAAAGTAAGATGTATGGGAATCTCATTTCAAAGAAGAGAGAGAGAGAGAGAGAGAAATGTTTCTTACAGGTTTGATTCCCTTTGAACTGAAGTGTTTGGAAAGTATGATTTCAGCGACTGCCTGAAAGAAGTCAAGATCATTCATGGTTCACATATTTCATATGCAGTCATACTCAGGTTCTTGTAGCAAAGATAGACGCTTTAATTGGAAAATTTTAATAGAGAAGTATAATTTTTCTTATATCAAAAGAACATCAACAATAATTTAGACTTGAATTCCCTGAAATTAGAATTTTGTTGACAGGTAATTGAAGGTGTAATGAAGACATTTGAACCTAATTACTTAAACCAAGCTTTAAATATTTGCCAATACGCTTCTTATGAAAATTCAGCCTTTGTTAGCTGCTAGCTTATTATTCATAAATATGAATGATGGTTTTGTACATTGATACATACCTTCAGTTCTACCAGTGAAAGATAAGGTCTCTTCATTTCATCATGGGAGAAGCGGACTTTTCCCTTTCTCTCTCCAGATTTGCTCCACTCCTTAAGAACTTCAGAATGATTCCACATCTCTTCCATGTCCTCAGCCGAAGCTCTGGAATCCCAGCATGTGTAAACAACATCTAATGCAATCAACCGGGTTAGTCATAAAGTGGAAAGGGAAAATAATGTTAAGAATAATAACGAACCCAAGTATTATATGGAACGTATATATATATAATAAACATCCTTTGTTGTTATTGAAATCACTACAAAGGAAACGAGTTTCAGGGGTCCTCAAGAATTACAAAACGGAAAGGAAACAACATCAAGTATCCAAAAAATCAAAACCACCATAAAATATTAGCGACCTTGTTGATAAAATGTACAATTAAGTGAAAAAAAAAAAAAAGAACTAAATCTCTCACAAGGGCAATTAAGTTAACCAAAAAAAGAATTTTGAAAAAGAAAAAAGAAGTAAAAAAGAAATCTGCCAGTAATTCCATCTTTTTGTTATTTGTATGGTACTCTATATTCTACTTCACTCAGAGATGGAGAAGAAACATGTGGATACCGATGTATGCGGTGCTGATAAAATCACCTGCTAAACCAAAATGGATAAATTGAAACTTTAAACAAAACTCTAGGTATTTTTGTAGCCCACTAGCCCTTATAAACCATGTTCAAATGTTGTAACAAACAAAGAGCTCAATGTGATTATTTTACTGCTCAAGAAAGATTGCATTTTTAAGGCCCAAACTTGTGACATTGTTTGGCATATGTTACAACAAAGATACAAAATATCTTTAAGCTCTTCCAGCAACTAAATGAAACGGCCTTTGTAATATGAAAAGAAAAGATTTAAAAAAAAGGGGAGGGAGAGAGAGAGAGACAACAACTTGAGTTTTGTGAAGATGACACAGAAGGAGCAGGAGATACAGTTGCAGAAGAAGCATCATTCAGTGACAGCCCATCTTCAGAAATTTTTCTGAATGGCAACAAAAAAAAATTAAAAATCAGCTTTCTAACATTGTCTGTCTTTTATCAAAAGCACTTTAGAGTGTTTGTAGTTACAGAAAGGAATCATATATTCCATATGTTTAGGTTTCTTGCCCACCAACCCCTAGGAAGGAAGAGAAAAGCAGTTTTCAACCAAAAAAAAAAAAAAAAAAAAAAAAAAACAGAGAAATGGAACATCCTTAAATTCCCTGGTCTTATTTCTCCATATGTCGTGAAGTTAAACAAAGAAGGGTGAAAGAGGTGGCGCTGACGTGTTCATCGATCATCGTCCATATAAAATAAAAAATAAATAAAATTTAAATTACAAGCTCCTTCCTCAAAGTTGATGCCTGACCCAATTTAGTCCTTGAAACTACTTTTTCAAAAAATTTAAACCTACACTTGATTACTGTGGCAAGTAGTTTATTCTGCTAACTTGCCGTGCCAATACGTCATGGATATTCATATATTTTGCATGTATGTAGCTTGCATATGAAATTTATTCTACAAAACTAAAACCTTTATTTGTTTAGGGACACGTTTAAAAGGAACAAAAAAGAAATCAATAATTTACAATATAGAGTCCCAGAGTATCTCTGTGTCCTTGTTTCATCTTCAATTGCTTTGTGAAGAAAAGACACATTCATATTAATGATTGCTTTCTCGAAAATTTTATCGATTCCATTCCATCAAGTTTGACAAAGATGGACATGACTTTCGTATTTATCAAAGTTCAGCCATGAAATTAATTGGAGAAAGCTCGAGGACTAAATTGAGACTTTATATGGTCTCGGTCCCCTTTTCGAGCATAGTCACGAAAAGGGAAGAAATACCTTGGTGGAAAACTTTCTTTAACAGAAAGATACCGCTGCCAAAATGGCATTGTCGATTTGTGAGTAGCCTTTTTCGTGCCACCCTTATATGCCCTGATTACAAATTCTTCACTTCTTTCTCTGCACACAAAAGAACGAGGGGAAAATGCCTCAGCCTCTTCTAATAATCAGGGCCAAGAGGAAATACAGAACACGGCTGGACTATACAGAGGAAACTTACCTCTGATCAAAGTTTGATAGCCATTTAAGATATGCAGCACTGAAATATACATTTACAAACGGTCTGAACAGAAGATCTGAATTCCCTTCCACTTCATATGACTGGTAGTGCAACTCTCTGTGAAACAAGGTTTACTTGTAACTCCATTGCACCAAGACAATATAAATTCTACAGATAAAGCAGCTAAAATACCGATAAAGCCAGTCAGCAGTTTTTGGTAGAAGTTGCATTATCCCTCGTGTTGTGTCCTTGGATTTCTTGTCGTACCGTGTAGCAAGGGGCTGTCTGTCGCTCTCAAGTTCAGCGATGGCACAAATCATGGACTGCAAAATAAATAGGATGAATGATGTAAAGGTTTCAATTCGGAATTCAACATAACCCTTCTTGATCTTACGCATTGACGAGTTCACTAAGTGGCAAATACAAATAGTGCAATTGGTCAGGAATCATAGTTTAGGAATAACAGTTCATTAGAAAGCAATAACTGGGAATCTGCAGAAGAATGTATGTTTCTCATTTAGTTTTCTCAATTCCACTTCATTGCAACATTGAAGAATACTCCCTCACAATGTTAGTGCCGAAAGACCAGAAATCACTTTTCCTGTGCCTCCACCGTGACCGTGTCAATGGGAGAATAGGAGGAAGGTAAGGGACATCAACATTGCACAAATAGTATTTATCACATGATACGGAAAAGGAAATAAGGAAAAAAGAAGAAAAAAATGAGGGAAACTTCCGAATCAGAGGAATAAGCTGTAGTAACCATATATCTGAAGTAGATAAACATTTTCTTATCAAAACAGAACGTAAGAGACCATAAAAAAGATGTGAAACACTTACAGGATCTAGTTGTGGACCAAAATGCCGGCAGATAATAATATCAGCCACAGCCTGGAAGTCAAGCGTATGGTGCAAGATAGGTTAGATAGCAAATCCAATAACATAAACGACATCTGTCTGCGAATATTTCAATTGGAATTAAGAGAAAGTGTGAAATCTGCACTTCACTTTCCAAAAGGACCATTTTCCGAACTATGAAAGTGAAAAGCTATAAATCTCCAAACTTTATTAGATTCAACAGAATGAAAAAGTAAACTATATACATATATATGTGTGTATATATATATATTGTTCAAATGCCATATTTTGAAAATTCTCAAGCGACGTTTGTTTTTTATATTCGTTTTTTATTCTGAGGCATAATTTATAGTTTTTTATAACATTTTTTCTTATAAAAAATACACGTAAAACAAAAATAATTTTAAATTATGATTCTGAATGCATAAATCAAACGTCTTCTTATTCATTTAAGTTTTTATTAAAAAAAAGAGGGAAAAAAGTTCATTGATTTTTGAACTGCAGCCTATCAATTGTTATGATTTGCTTCAAAGTAATTATCACTTTTGTACCCTCATCTCTGTCTGAGTCAAATAAAGCTGCCCGTCAGGATCGCGTGAGAGGTGAACTTTATGTCCTCTAGTCTCCCCAGCATCTAACCATTCGGCTCTTACTTCTGGAGTCTTCCACATTGCTTCCATATCCCGGGGATCAACACAATCATCCCAGTATATAAAGCTGACTGCCATCCTATTAATGGTGTTGGATTCTTACGCTCTCATCTAATAAAGAAAGAGAATCTCAGTTCAACAACTGATTTGCATAAACCATGGCAGGAAATGTAGACAAGTTTTTCACTTTCTTTCATTCTACATTTTTCTTTGCATTTAGTTCACTTAATTATCAACAATTCAATCACTCTAAAATATATTTTGAACCAATTACAACAGTTCTGTAATATTTTAGATGGCATGACCTCTTTTTTTGTTCTTGGTCAACTTGTATTGACAAGTTAACAATTCTAATGAAGAGATGTGTGATGTTAAAAATGAAAACATGGGGTTATTACATGACCAATGCTAGTAATTTTTAACCAAAAAAAAAAGAAAAAGAAAAAGAAAACTTCATGAAATAGTCCATTAAGCATAAAGATGTGGTCTGATAGCAAGATATTATAGAAATATAGCTGCGAAATGGTGTTTGATATTTCAATCAGAACAAAATTGGAGTAATTAAATCCCCCAAATACAATGAAAACAGTGAATAACTAAATAAATAAATTCAGCTTCAACAATAAGCTCCACACTGCCAAAACCCCAGAACAAAATTTCCAAAGCATTCAGATCCACATTACACGCATTGAAAATAAAATCCAATTCTCAGTAATCAAATTGCAGCCGAAGAATTCACGCAAAATTGTAAAACACTCATCCTAGTATTTGCAACTTCAGAATCCAAATCCAAAAACACAACTTTGTATAACAACCTTTCTATTATCCAATAACAAATGATCGACGTTTTGACACCCTTGGAGATAATGAACAAATCCCAGAAAGATAAATAAAACATTGTTTGGTTTAATAACATAACAAGATATCAGAAAATTGAGAAACAAATATGCGAAAATGTAAAAAAGAGATATTAGTGGATTACCAAAGGTGGTGCAACAGGTTCCTTCCGGGGCATGAATGATTATGGTTTGTGAAGAGAGAGAGAGAGAGAGAGAGAGAGAGGATGAAGAACATTTGGTGCCGGGAAGTTTGGTGAAATTAATTTCCATCCTCTGAAAATGCCCAAATTTGTTGGTTGCGGAGGTTTTCGGACGCTGACACTTGCCATTTCGCGCTGTCTTACCTTATTCAACTCATTTTCCCACCTCTTTTTCTTTAAAAAAAATAAATAAACAACAAATTAAGCGCTTGCTCCCTGAAATATTCCGAATTTTAATTTTAGTTTTTTTTTTCCTTAAATTTTAACAACTTTTATAAATTCTCCCCCTCAACTAAATTTTTGACAAAAAAATGTCACATGGAATGTAAAAACTAACAAGAAAACTCCTTATGTTAAGATTTTTAATAGAAATAACCGTATCGCATAAATAATGAGTGTCATTAAACCATCTTTATTCTTTAGTATACAATTACTCTGTTAGCTCTTTTTCACTTAGTCACACAAAAGTGCAACTACACACTAATGCTATGTTTGGTAGGAAGGAAAGAAAATAGGATAGAAAGGAAATATGGAAGTGATGGAAAATAACAATAATGGAAAGGAAATTGATTTTCTTTTATGTTGTTTTGTATGAGAAGATGGAAAGAAAATGAGTTTACCTTCACTTGTTTGGTATTGGAAGTTAAATTGGGAGGAAAGAAAAAATCTTACTCATAAATTACTTTTATACCCTTAAATTTTTTGCTTAGATGTTGATGGAGAAAATGGTAGTTTAGTAACTTTGCTCACTTTAATGAGTTGTCCCCATTTTTCATCTCATTTTCTGCCCACTTGTGGAAAGAAAAAAAATAGTGGGGCCCATATGTATTATTTTTCACTCTATTTTCTCTTCATTTCTCTTTTCTCTCCTACCAAACAACCTACATTTTCATTTTCCCTCCCAAAATCCCTCCACCTTCTTCCTTCCTTGTACTTTTCTTTCCTACCAAACATACTCTAAGAGTTGTCCTACTATTAAGGGTGACAACTCGTGTTACCGTGTCGGATTCGTGTCGTGTCACACCCCTCTGTTGGCACAAACACAACCCTTTTAATAATCGTATCAGAATAAGAAACTCAAACACGACTCTTTTATTATAGAATTGACACGAACACTACATGACCAACCCGTTTATTAAACAAGTCAATAACGCGTCGTGTCAACCTGCAAACACTTTTACTACCTATATATTGAAATTCAATTCTTAATGATAAAAAAATATTAAAAAATAAAAAAAATTAACAATATAGCAAAATAGTAAACTAAAAGAGAAATTCCATAAAAATGTGAGGAAACCATAGAGCCTTCCTTATATATCACCTATTTTTTTCTAAAAAATATATATTTATACATGTTTAAATAAACACAGGTATTAAATAGGTTAAAAATGTATCGTGTTCGGATCAACTTATTTATGACACGTTTATTAAAATAGTTATTTTAAGTTAATTTCGTGTCGTGTTGATCCTTTATTTAATGGTGTGTGGCAGGTTCAACTCTTTCTTTAACATAGACTTACTTAAAAAAAAAATTTCAAACTCTCTAATTTCATACAAATTTCATATTGTATTATGGTATCGTAATCTAAATTGTGAGTCTTACCTCCCATAAAATACCCCTATTTTTGAACCTTTTGCTTTTCAGTTACACATTAAAAGAACGGGAACAAAAACAAAAAGGGTTGGTGGGTCCAAATCTCTGGTATTGGCGGCCATCGTAGTTGATAAAAGATATATGGGTTCGTTTAGTTCGCTGATTTGAGTTTTTAATTTGAATTGAGATGTGATTTTATATGAGAGTTTTTTACTATAATAAAAAAGTTAAATATGATTATTTTTAAAAAAAATTTACTATAATAAAACTTGAATCAGCGAACGAAGCCATAATTTACGTTGCCAAATGACTTTCCTCAAGGTTCTTAGGAAGAGCACGTGCATGGGAGTGTGTGGTGCATATTGTTTCCACCTATCCTGGCCACACACCAGACTCTCCAAATATGTCGAGGCCGTAAAATACAATAACATATTTTTGATGTGGAAAGGACATGACAGGATAGCAACAGCCTTGGCTTTATGCTATTTCAAACGTGTACATTGACGTAATGGATGTTTGTTCTTTATATTTTGAAATTGATGATTTTTTATAATATTTTTTTTATAAAAAATATATATAAAATAAAAATAATTTTAGATCATAATTTTAAATTCGAATATCTTTCGAAAAAACAGACGTCCCCACTTTTTGTAGTTTCATGCTCATCTACCAATGGCCAATTTGTTGTTGGTTTTTTTTTTTTTTTGAAAGGCAATTTGGTATTGTATTTGTCACTGAAAGTTTTTATTGTTGTTGTGCTATTACAATAGTAAGTTGCTATGATAAAAAATAGGTAGGTGTTTGGTAAAATTTTTTTAAAAAAAAATTATTGTGAATACTATAATTAGAAATTTAAATATTTAATAAATTATTTATAAAATTACTTTGAAAATGTATAATAATTAAAATAGACAATATATACTTTAACATGTATAAGTATAGTTAATTTTATTTTTATTTTAAAGGTCAATATCCATAATATTTTTACAGCAAGATTCTAAAAAATCATAATTTTAATTTTATTGATTAATATTTAAAAATAAATTTGTAAATTTATTGTTATTATTCTTAATTCAAGATTGATTTAAATTTAGCATAATACATTTATTTAAAGATTTTCAGTTTTTAAATAAATATTTTAGATATATTTTTTAAGTTATTATAGTAAACGTAAAACGGGTTGATGAAAAATATTATTTTTGATTAAGGTCTATCCATAGCACGCGCCACTCATATTGCAACTACTTGAGGACATATTTGTACAAAATATTTTAATTGAAAAATTAGAGAAGAGAATAATAATTTAACGAAATTGATTTGAAAATATATGTAAAAAAAGTCGACAAATGATAAGAAACATAAATAAAGGATACATGTATTAAAAATAAATTCAGCACCAAATAATAAAGGTAAGAAAAGCAAAAGCAAAAAAAAAGAAAAAAAAAAAACAGCGAAGTTGATTACCCTTTTTATATTAGGTAGATATATAAAAAGCTTTTCAAGTAAAACTTGTTTATTTATTTTTTAATGTTTATCATGCCCTAAAATATAAAATATTTTTTTTTGAAAATAAAATTTAAAGTTTTAAAGCAAAATAATATTAATAAGTGGAGAAATTATAGTGTGTAGCATATTTTTTAAACTTTTAGGAGTAAATAGCAGAATAATTACATATAGTAAGTAAATAGCATTTTTAATTTAAGAGACACCTGATTTTTCTCTTTTACCCTTACTTGATCAAACCATGAGAGCCTAAGAACCCTTTTGATGTGTTTGGAGTAAGGATTCATATTATGATTCGGATTGTTGCTCGCTGCAGTATTTTTTTTTTACAAAAAATTAATTATAATTTTAAATTAATGAACCAAACGTCCACTTTATTTTTTTTTATGGTAAGCTTGCAGGAGACGGCGTGGTTCTGTAGACGGCGACCTTGATCTGCTTGGGATGCTTACTGTTTGGTTGTTCTGAAGGTGAGATTGACGCAAAAATGGTGGAGCTTTCATGGCAGGGAGACAGAGGAAGAGAAAGGATAGAGAAAAATAGATTAAAAAAAATATAAAAATCAGGGCATTTTAGATATTATGTACTTTATAAATCTGAATTTAATACATAAAATGCTATTTACTAATTTTTGTTCAAACTTCTGTTATTAATTTTTATTACCCACTCAAATTATGCTATTTTTCTCCTTCTCTCGTTAAGTTTTCCCCTTTTTTGAGCGTGAAGTGTTAATAATTTGTTAGTAGGTGTTTGTGGGATCTACCAAAAGGCCCTTGGTAGTCAGCTTCCAATTACTTTCTACTTTTTTATTCAACCAAACAAAACATCTACTCTTAAAATTAAAAAAAAAATAAAAAATAAAAATATCAGCAAAAACAAAACATCTACTCATCGTGAAAATCATTCATTATGGATGACATTATCAATACTATTTCTAAATAAATATAATAATTCCTTCACAAAAAAAATAATATTTATGTTATCAAAACATTAGCTACTTATAGCCGTGTATGACTTGTTTTCTTTCAAGTGTTTATGAATGTCTTGATCTCTAATAATTTGCTAAATGAGTCCCCTAAAAAAATTAGCAAAAATGAAAAAGAGCTAAAAAGGCTATTTAAAAAGGATCCTATCTTGAATTCAAAAAAGATGAGTTTAACCAATTCCAATTTTCTAATTACAGGTAAAGATATCAATCTTACTCATAGATATAGGTATCCGCCTCTAATAAATGGGTATGAGAGATGTTATATAAGAGTAGAGGTAGGTAATGGAGGTAAAAATTAACCTTCAATTTAGAGGAAGTTCCCCGTCTCCATTTCCTCATAATTACATATACTCTTACATATATTCGGGTTTCAATTTAGTTTTTAGACTTTAGTTTATTATTATTAGAGTTTAGATTTGACATTAAGATTTCAATTTATTTTTATGACATATTAATAGTTATGTTGTTTAATTTTCTAATTAATTTAATGAAATTTTCTTCAAGGTTTAATAACATTACAAGTATTGTTTAAATTAATGAGTAAATGGACAGAGTGCGGATAACTCTCTTAGCGGAGATTTGACCTAATCCTGCTTAAAATTAGACAGATATAAAAAGAGTTGGGAGACAAAATAAGAGTAAAAGATGAGAGTAGAGAAAGCATACTCATCCCCCCGCCCCATTGCCATCCTATTACATGCCAATGCCATGGCAAAACGATGCGTCAAAAATGGATGTATAAGCAAATTTTTGACTAACAATATACACGCACGGGCGGAGACGTTTGATTCATGAATTAAAATTATGAGATTAAAATTATTTTCGATTTATGTGTATTTTTTATGAGAAAAAATACTGTAGTGAACCATGAACTATGATTCAATTACCAAACAGAAACTTATAATAATAATAATAATAGTATTATTATGATTCAAACGGAGACTTGGTTCATTTTATATTTTTTTTATGTCCAAAAAAAGGAGACTCTAGTGTTATTATAATAGTTAGTTGCTACTAAAATATGTTATATTGACACTCATATTGACATCGTCAGTTTTCTGTTAAATTAATTAATGTGTTCACATCACGTTTAGGTAGTAAAAAAAACAACTCACAGGTATGCAAAATATTGATCATTCTATTCTCTTTTAGAATTAATCTGCGTATACTATTTTGTCAAATTCAATTCATATAAATTTTAAAAATTATTTAATTAATTATTATTTTTTCCTTCCTGTCCTTCACCAAAGGACGGTAATTTGCCCTGCGAGGGTAGTGCCCGCATCAAAACCTGGAGACGGTTTAGATGGCCCGCTTTGAAATCATTCCAGGCATATATATATATATATATATTGTAAAAAATATACAATTATATAATCTTTTACATATGTATACGTACATTTATATACATCAATGGCAATGAAAGTACTTATAAAGTCTTAAAAAACATTTGTGAGAAAATAAAAACTTTTACGGTTTATACACCAAACAATTAAAGGGAGGAAAAAGGAAATCTTTATAGTTGCTATATCGGTTGGGACAGTTATAAATAACTGTTAAATTAATTTTTTAATAATTATATCTATATACGTCTAGCGTACTATACAAAATTATTTTTATTGTAAATGAAAAATTAATCAAACCACAAAAATACAATCTTCACCGGTAGAGCAACCTGAGAAAAAACGTGCTAAGGTTTTGTTTTTCTTTACTCTTTATGCTACATAGGTCGTTATCGACGTTCCATGTCAAATCAAAGTCATCATCATTGTGGTTGGCTTTTCATCGTTATATTGATCTATGACGCTTTGTTTTTGCAGTCTACCTTATATAAGGAAATGAATAACATACATACTAATTTCCTGCAATTAAAAAGATGAAAAAATTGTTTTTTAACTTCCAAAAAATATATATATATATATTTAAAAGGCAAATTATATTGTCTAGCTTTCCAAGAAAAGTTAATTATTTAGCATGTAATAATTAATTTTTATTGTAATTATATTAAATTGAAGTTAGGAGTTCGTGTATGTGATCCTTTAAAAAAAAAAAAGGAATTCATTTTTTTTAATTTTTATTGTGTTATTATATAGCAGAGACAGACACTTTGAATTCTTATCTGCCATTTTATTTATAAAGTATAGTTTAGTAAAATGTAATAAAAGTTCCATGATAAATTATATAAATTTTTTAAGAAGCCCGTTCAGTTCGCTAATTCGAGTTGAGATGTGATGTTGTGTGAGAATTTTTTACTATAGTAAAAAAGTTAGATGTGACTATTTCTGAGAGCTTTTTACTGTAGCAAAACTCGAATTCTAAACTCGAATCAGCAAAATGAACGGGGCCATTTTTTGCTATGTAACGTCACATTGAATCCTTTTTACTTGATGATTTTTGTTTTTATTGTATACATTTTATAAGTTAAACCTAAAGCAAAAAAGTGTCTCAGACATAACATGGCTGTAAAATTTAAGTTGTTGCTTATATTGTAAGATTTTAATCAGTGCAGTTGCCCTTTTAGAACCCCACTTGTGACTCGCACGTGTGGATTGTCGTGAGTTTTTTAACGGCAGTTTGTGAAATATGCTTAATTGTAGCAGTTAAATAAGTTGTGGGGTTAATTACCAAAGTTAAAAGTTTGGAATTACTTTGCTAAAGCTCGACAAGTGTAGGAGGCAACTTTTCTAAAACTCCTAAAGAACGAGTAAATTGCACTTTGCACCCTAAGTTTGTTTTTGCATAATGGAATCTGAAATTTTAATTTTAATAAAATGCACCCGGTTTTTTAAAATGAGTAGCCATTGGAGTTCAATAATTAGCGAATATTAATAATAATTTAAGACACGAGATTGACATATAAAAGATAAATATTGTCAATTTTCAAACAATACATATATAAATCTCGTATTTTAAATTATAAATTTGATAACGCTATAGTATTGGTCTTTAACAGTGGTAGGACCGGCCGACAAATCTGAGAACAAGAGAAGCCCAAAAAAGCGACCCGAAAAAGGCCCAAACCAGTCCGTCGTGGCTTTCGAGGTCTCTGTCAACACCCTTCTCCACTCTCATCAGTCCACGTCACGACAAACTCACCTACACACGTGACCAACATAGCAATTATCAACTGCTCTTGATCTCACCGTAACGTCCTAATCTAGAAAATCATGACCATTAAATAATAGAGCCCACACAAAATAAGAAGAAATAGTTAGCTATTATGAAATACAAAGTCCGTTAAAATGGTATACGTTGCACCAGATCATACCCTGAATAGAAATCCTGAAATTTTCTCCGGTTACAGAAGAGGGAAAAAAGTTGGCGAGGACAGAGAGAGAACGCTACTTAAGAAACTCCGCTCCACTTTCTTATTTTTATTTTTATTAAATTTAGATTTCGATTTTCGTCAATAATTAAAAAAAAAACAAACACAATTTTCTGGCTTGTGCCAGGTCCCAAGAGGCGCATATAATATAATATATTAATTAATTAAAATCGCCCCCAGAAAGTTTCTCTACGGCTTCGTTTATTAGGGTTGTTCAGAGAGAGCTGAGAAAATAAGCAAGAAAAAGAAGAGAGCTTTTTGTTGCAGTCAACAATGGCGTTCTCTTCTCTGCTCAGATCGACGACTGGAACTGCTCTGATCGAAGCTTCTCGTGCCGATTTCTCTTCTTCTCCTTCATCCTCCAATAATCCTCCCAAGGTCTCCGTAGGTTTTTTTTTTTTTTTTGCCCCCTTAAACCTTCTGTTCTTAGATCAACAAATCTCACCTCATTTCATACCACTTTTTAATCTTTTTCTTCTAAACGTAATGCGTTTTTTCTGCGGTATTTTGATTTCTCCGGGTAGAATTTTTGTTCGTTATGATCGTAGAAAAAAATCATATATGTGTATATATATATGTAAATTTATATATACATGTGTATTTCATTTATAGTTTTGTTAGATAACTGAAGGTTTATTGTTTTGGCTTCTGAAGATTTTTTTTTGTTCCTGCAATATCTCTCCATTCATTTTCTATTTTCTTTTTTTTTTTCTTGTTATAAGATTGTCATATGTTATGAAACAGAATTTTTTGTGTTTGGAATCTTTTTTTTTTTTCAATTCCGTCATAGTTTCTTGTTTAGATTTCATTGTGTTTATTAGAGTTGTGGCGGCTCTTTGAAGGAGTCTCAGTCCCACATTTCGGTCTTTGCTCTGAATATATATTCTACATATTAACAAATATTAACTGAGAGGACTTTTGAGCTGTTGATTTCGAAGAAAGTTATATGTTTTTATTAGATTTTGTTTTCGTATAAATACTAGAGTGAGTATTTATGTAATGCGAAGCAAACGCCTTTCTTCTATATACTCAAATTTACACGCAACTTATTTTTCATAGATTGATAATCTGAACTTTTTTTTTGGCATGATTTTCTATACATATACATAAATGTGTACTTACGTTCGTATGTAATTTGCCTATTTCTTTATGCATACATTTATATCATTCTATTATTTTTTTTTTGAAGATTTTTTTATACATGTTTTTCAGACATCATGCATTGGTTTCACTCGCAAAACGCAATCAAGCATGTTTGGCACTGCTGTCACGAGTGGATCATCTGCTACACAGCTGAGTGTCGCAATATTTTTAAATCCTTTGTAGGTTTAGTCGTATTTTGCTGCTGTTATAATTTATTCAAGAACATGGTAATATTTCAGGCGATGTAATGCAAGGAAAATCCAACCCATTAAAGCGACAGCCACAGAATTGCCACCCACTGTTCCAAGTAAGGACCGAATGATTTTTAAATTGTGGGTGAGATTTATGATGGTTTGATGCTTACTCTTCATTTGTTTCGTTTAGAATCGCAGAAGGGCGGGAAGACAAAGGTCGGAATTAATGGTAAGTTTATGAAAGTTGCTCTCTTTTGTTTGTAAGAATGATTTATTGAACATTGATGGTTCTGGTGTATGCTGTGGATGTTTTTTGAGATGTTGATTGGGAACTGATATACTCGTTCCGCATTCCACCATGTAGTTGAGATTTAACTAAGACTTGTAGTGTTTTTGCCTTTCCGTGTGCAAGAATAATAAAATTTGGAACCTTTAGTTATTATTATTATTGTTGTTGTTGTTGTTTTAAGTAAAAATTTGATTATATAAGTGTAAAAACTAAGAAGCGCAATAGAACAGTGTGTTGAATGGTATTCTTGTAGAGTTTTGGAAGCTATGTTAGTTCATTGTTGCATTAAGGTTTCATGCTTCCTTTTGAAGCATGCAAATTCTCAGTTAATCAACATTTGTTTAAACACGTGAGAGCTTTTTTTGTTTTGTTTTGTGTGCATGTGTGTGTGTGTGTGTTTTTTTTGTTTTCAAAAGAAAAAAGTGCTTTAAGAAGTTTTAGAATAATTATGAAGAACAAAACAATAGATAAAACAGGGCTAAATGACATCTGTGTTACATTTAGTTATTAAAAGTTAGGACTAGAGGAATTTAGTAAATCATTAATTTAAGAAAGTATTATTATGTGATACTCATGATGTGTTGAAAAAAAGGTTTAGGGTTCAAATACTGGTTCTAAAGATTTTGGAGTACTACTCTTTAACTTCTTGTGCCTTGGTAGTTATCTAATCAGTTTTGGCCTTCACGGACTCTTGTCCCTTGTATTTTATGTGGCGAATTTTAGTTGAAGCTCCATTTGGCAATTTCGTAAGAGTTAAATGTGTGACTACAACCAGAAAATTTAATGTAATCTGTTCCAGTTTTTATTTCCAAGTACTCTAGTGTTAGAAGTTGCTTTCTTACTGGGCTGTGTTCTGATGTTAACTCCTTTTGGTTGGGGATGTTCGGATTTAAGACTGTTATGTCTAATGTTGGTTGATATATCAATATGGGAACTAAGCAAATTTTTATTTCATTGGTTAGCACTGGATTCGACATTTTTCATTTAATCCTTTTCTCATTTAATGGACATATAGTTGATGAATTCTTTAAATCGAGAGAACAGTCTCTCATTGAAAGAAGTGTAATATAGGTATTATGTGACTTCTTTAATGCTTAATTTATTTAGGTTTTGGTCGCATTGGAAGATTGGTTCTACGAGTGGCAGCATCCAGGGATGATATTGACGTGGTTGCAGTGAATGATCCTTTCATTGATGCTAAATACATGGTAAGGATGTCAGATTAGGGGGAAAAAAGAATACCTGAACATTGATTGATTTAGCTACCAGGGTCTTTTTTTCTTTTCCTGAGGTTTTGATTTAAATTGATTCTCGCTGATAATAGTTGTTTAATTTTAAGCAACCATTATGTCCAATTGTTTGTGAAGATTGTGCCATTTATGCAAGAGTGGTTAACTTACCATTTCCTTCTTTGTTCTCGACCTTTTCTTTTTTGTGTTCTTTTGTCCAGGCTTACATGTTTAAGTATGATTCTACTCATGGACTATTCAAGGGAACCCTTAGGGTTGTGGATGAGTCAACCTTAGAAATCAATGGGAAGCAAGTTAAAATTGTGAGCAAAAGGTAATTTTCTGCAGACTTTACAATGGGAATTGGCATGGCGTCTGTATGTGCAGTGGTATAACAGTTAGAAATGGAAAATATGCTAGCATCAGTTTTTCTTTTTCATTTTTCATGGTGACGTTTCCATTCAAATCTAATTGTGCTTTAGGCTAACAATTAATATCTACCTTTAACTCAGGGACCCTGCTGAGATTCCTTGGGGTGATTATGGAGCTGAGTATGTTGTTGAATCTTCAGGTGTTTTCACAACAATCGAGAAGGCTTCAGCGCATAAGAAGGTTTGTTCCTTTTTCTTGATTTTCTTCCCTTTTCTCACACACACACGCGCAGAGGAAGCCATTACTTCCACGAATGATATTCATAGGTAAGTTGCAATAATTTTTATTCTCTTTCCAGGGTGGTGCCAAGAAAGTAGTTATATCAGCTCCATCAGCTGATGCACCCATGTTTGTTGTTGGAGTAAATGAGAAGACATACAAGCCAAACATGGACATTGTTTCTAATGCAAGCTGTACTACCAACTGTCTTGCTCCTCTTGCTAAGGTTCTCTTACTTCTTGAAAGAAATTTATTTTTCATTTTTGGGTCATTCTGCATCTTGTTGTATTAATGAATTGTGAACGCTTTATGGTTAAATTCTGGAGGAATAGGGCCAACTTTATTAGATCTTTAAATTTCGCTTTTGAGATTCTACATTGCAGTCTTTTACGTTCCATTTTTTGCCCCATGATGAACATCTGCAATAAAATCAAATTTAATTGTATGCTCTCCCATTACCCTTTTTATTATATTGCCAGCTTAACATTTTTAGTTCGTTGTTTGTTACTTCGAAAACTGTAAATGTGGACGCCAAACTAAAATCAGGAGTGCTTAGTGAAAAAAGTGGACTTCGTTACATTTGTTTTTGGATTATTTATTAGAATTATGCAATCATCAAAGTGGGTTTTGAATTTAAGACTAAGGGTGTATGTTTGGAATCGCTCTAATAACCTTGGTTTTCTCTTAAAGCTTCTTGCCCTGGAACTTGGTGAAGCTAATGTTTGCTGTTATATTTTTTCCAAATACTTTATGTAGGTAGTTCATGAGGAATTTGGTATTCTTGAAGGTTTAATGACGACTGTTCATGCAACTACAGGTATTTCTCTTTTTATCTCTTTTGTTCTTCCTAATTAGAATCATTTGGTAACTTGATTATGAGATTTATTTTTAATTTTTTTTCCAGCAACGCAGAAGACTGTTGACGGTCCTTCGAGGAAGGATTGGAGAGGGGGTCGTGGAGCTGGACAAAATATTATTCCTAGTTCTACTGGTGCAGCAAAGGTAAGTATTGTGCAAGCAAACTCAATAGGAGAATCTTGGATAATGTTGGTTTTTAAATCTTGGCTATTTGATGGTTTTTTTTTTTTTTTTTTTTTTTTTTCACTTGGGGCAAAAAGTGTGATCATTTAATGTTTTTGGAAGTATAGGCTGTTGGAAAGGTTCTGCCGGAACTCAATGGAAAGCTTACCGGAATGGCCTTCCGTGTGCCAACTCCGAATGTTTCAGTGGTAGACTTAACTTGTCGACTTGAGAAGAGTTCTTCCTATGAAGATGTCAAAGCTGCTATAAAGTATGTGCCTTTTGCATTCACTTGTGAAATGTCCAAATTTCCAAACTATACACTCTTTTTGGGGTTAGTCTAAGCTATGTGGAAGTGTTTTAATTTAATTTTCGTTTCTGTGATCTATTGTCTATAAAGGTACGCATCAGAGGGGCCACTTAAAGGCATTCTTGGCTACACAGATGAAGACGTTGTCTCCAATGATTTTGTTGGCGACTCAAGGTAGAATTTGTTTGTTGCATGTTTCTTGAGTTTATTAAATCGATAAAAGCTAATGGCAGTATCGTGCTTTAGGGGGACCGACTTAAAACATGATAAAACATAATAATACACACACACACACACACACATATATATATTTTTGTTGAGAAAAATGTGTCAAATTCTTGTAATTGAGAACGGAATACAGGAAAAATTGTTAGTTGAGTTGATATCCATCATACGGATAGTAGGGTAAAAAGTTTAATTTTATGCTTATTTTATGAATTTTGTCAACTCTCTTCCTCTGTCATATAATTTTGCCTGTTTTGTCTCGATCCACTTTTCCACTCAAAATATGAGGAACTCGGGGGTTGTCTCACATAGCAGTGGGCCGGACAAAGTGGGATCCATTGAGTTGCGCCTACAAGTGTGAGACAACCCATCTAATCCCGTCGGGTTGAACATCATTTTTCGCTCAACATGTCTGATTAAAAGCTGAAGCGTCTTTTCTTAAGATCGTCAATTTTTGTCGCCCCAGGTCAAGCATATTTGACGCAAAGGCTGGCATAGGGCTTAGCGATTCCTTCATGAAGCTTGTTTCATGGTACGACAACGAGTGGGGATACAGGTAAAGATTTTTTCTACATTTTCACAAGCTTTTCATAGTATTTGCATGCACGCACGGACGCATATATTTGAGAGTGACAAATTATTCTTTTTGGCAGCAACCGAGTTTTGGACCTCATAGAGCACATGGCGTTGGTTGGCAGTTTACGCTACTAAATAGCATTTGTTGTTGCTCCGACCACATTTTTTCTTGGCGCTTGCTATGAGTTTGGCTGGCTAGTAGTCAATACATTTGATAGGCTTTCAGGGTTTTCTTTTTCTTTTGTCAACGGACTTCTCTATTTAGATGCGAGGTAAAACATCGCATTTTTTTGTTGGTTTGGTTTATAAACATGGCATGATGCAACTTGGAAATAATGAAAAAAAAAATCTGAGATGTATGGGATTTTGCTAATGTATCAGTTTAAACTTTATCATTATATTTTCTCCCTTATCATATTGAGATATCATATTTCTAGTAAATAAGCTTGTTTCTTAAGTCGGTAAATAACTGGATCTAACTATGGGGAAGATCGTTTTGGATTTATTCAGTAACGTGAGATTTGTCAGGCGAGTATGAGAGATAACCTAGACGGTGAATATGAGATTAAAAAGCTAAATATCCCTTTCGGCAAAGTTTTGTTAAATATTATTGTCGTTATTATTATTATTATTTTTTAAATTCCCCCTTAAAATCTCTGCAAGTTTCCCAAATTACCATGTCTCCGAGTTGGAGTCCTCTGTTGCACTATCTTGTAGGTTTGACTCGAGAATTATAGAACACTTTTGTATTACAATTGTATGCATAATTATTAGAGAAAATTTCAAATTTAATAATTCTTTTTTTTAATTTTATTATTTGTCACAATATAAAATTTTGGTGCCATTATACAAAATAACTTACAAGTTATGATTATTACAAATAACCTGCATGTTACTAAAAATAACCGGAAGATTACGACAAATTACTAGTAGCAAGATAAATTTTCGTAGAAATAAAGTAGTGTAATGACATTTTTGATTTTCTCTTGGCGTATCAAATCAAAATGTTTACTAAATACTGATTAGGTGCTTAAATATAAGTTGGGTCGTCAATTTGTTGCTGGTCTCTTCGGCTCGGCCCGCATAAGGATTTCGCTTGGGCTTAAGCTTTCGACTCATGGACCGGGCTCGCTGGCCTGTATGCATTTTAATATGGGTAGGGTGATTTAGACATATGGCCGAATTATAACTTTTGAATTGAAATATAGCTTAGGTTTGAGAATATCTCATACATGGCATTATTATGTAATGATATTTAAATAACGTAATATGTTATTACATTATAGACCTTATAATGACATATCACTTTTTCACGTAATTTAGATATTGATATACTTTTTTTTCACGATTTGTAGGATATCTATCTATTTTAAAAAATTCAAATCACAAAAATAAAGTTTCTATTTTAATGATACGTTAGTATCTGAATGATGTTCTATTACATTATAATTGATATTTCATTATATTAATTAGTATTACATTATATTAATGATGTTCTATTTTATAATTGATATTAGGATGAGTTGTTGTATTACATTATAATTGATATTACATTTTATTAATGATGTTCTATTTTAATGATATGTTCTATTAGGATGGATTGTGCTAGAAGAGAAAAATATGGCAGTTAGTTATAAACAAAAAACGCCCAGCAAAATAATGGAAGGGTATATTTGGAATGTCAAAAAAGTAAATTTTTTAAAAAAGCCAAAGTTTTTTTAAAAAAGCCATATATGTGATATTTGAAAAAGTAAGCCACATTTTAATTCAACTCTTGAAAAAGGCTACATCTTGTAATTTTTACTTTTAAAATATTTTTACATGAAATATATAGGTCGAGTGAGTCTGTATTCGGCCTCAATTGAAGATTTGTACATGTATATGATAACATTTTCAATTCTTGAAAAACGCATAATAATTTTTCTCATATTGACTCTGGGAGTTTGAGTAAGGGTTGTGGGTTCAATCCCGTGTTATATAAAAAAAAAAAAAAAAAGTCGATCAAAGGTAGAAGGCATCTATAATTTTGTCAAAAGTGTTTTTTTTTTTTTTTTTTTTTTTTTGTTTTTAAAAATAATCAAGGCCTATATATATGGAAAGAGAGATTTTATTAATTGTAAATTTCATGACGACATACATACATCTTGGCAAATGCGATGCATGATTGATTAACAAGGTTTAAGGCATATGCAACGGCGTCGGACATAGGAACATTTTCCATAAGTAAAACCTTCACTCTGACATATTTCCACACAATTGTGTCGCTTTAAGCAAAGTCCTTCGTACTTCTCGCTTTCTGTTTCGCACATCTTTGCTTCTGTACCGCGCAATATTGCGTCTTCATCTGGGTTTCATAACCAAAAAAAAAAAAAAATCCAACATTATTTCTAATTAATTGAACAAATTAACTTCTACAAAAAATTGAATAATAAAAGAACTCCAAATTACATGTTGCATAGGTTTTTGCTAGTTAAAATACTTAACTAGAAGTACAAATTCCCAAAACTTTCGAATCACACACATCTACACACGTACATGTATACGAAACGCACACGAGGGATATATATTTTTTTGAAATGAAAATTGATGACCCCTTTTATTTATAAGTTTGAACAGAAAATTAATTTGAATAGAAATTGAATTTTTTGTGTAGCAAAAATTTTTAAATTGTGATTTAAATCCGCAAAATAAATTGGGTTATATATAAATTAATAGTAAAATTCATAAGAATTAAGCAGAGAGATATAACAAGAATAGGATATCTTAGTTATAGAGATAGATGCTAAATTACGAGACATAAGGAGAAGGGTGAGCAACAACGCTAGGTGTAAGAACTTCCTCTCCATTGCCTTTGGTTTTCCTTTCCAAATCCAAACGCTTCTCACTTTTTTTTTTTTTTTTTTGAATGTCACGAATGCTTTGCACTTTGTTCCTATACTTTTACATCAGAAGGTAAATATATACTACAACGTCCTCCACCCTAATTTAATGCTGAGCATATCCCTGAGGATTTGGCAACCCAAAGTAAAATAGGATATTATTCCAAGTGGCACTTGATGGAAAAGATGTAGGTCTCGTTCGTTTCGCGGATTCGAGTTGAGATGTGACATTTTTTAAAGTTTTTAACTGTAGCAGAAAAAGTTAGATGTGACATTTTCTGAGAGTTTTTAACTGTAGAAACCTAAAATTAAAAATTTAAATTGGTGAAATGAACGAGACCGTAACCTATAACTTTGCTTTCAATATGGTAGGATATTTGATTTTAGATTTTCAGGAGGAACGCTCACCAAACACAAAAGTGGGCCCCACTTGTGGCATTCATGTGGGTCCCACCATGTGGAGTCCACCTCTTTGTGTCTACGAAGATAAATCCCCATGAGAACACAAAAGATTTTACTTTCAGGATATATTAATTTATAATTTTTTCTAGGATATTTAATTTTAGATTTTAAGCATATACGACTTTTGCATTCAATATGGTAGGATATTTAATTTTAGATTATGAGGGCATCATAAGCAACAACTTTTGCATTCAATATGGCAGATTATATTCAATTTTAGATTATAAGGACATTGCAATATGGTATAACAAGATTAAGAAGAAAAATACAGTTGAATTTCATGTTCCAAAAAAAAAAAAAAAAAAACCAAGTGTCTTGAAGTTCAAGGTGTGTATTATATGTTTTCACATTTATTTATTTTTAGTTATGTATATACTTAGTTATAGAGTAGAGTTAAAAATTTCAACTTCTTTGTGCATTATCTTGGAGGACTCTATTACAGGGATTCAGATCCTCCGTCAGAAAAATGTTGGTCTCAAACTCTCAATTTGTGTTTAAAACTAATAAAAAAAATGTAACAACATATGGCAAAACTATGCGTTATAGCTATATCCAAGCGAATGATGCCTAACCATATGGTTGTTTGCATGTTTTTTTTTTTTTTTTTTCCTTCAAAAATCACCACCGATCAAATTAAAACAATATATTTTTTAAGAAGTTTGACATTTTTAATAAAAATCAAATCAAATCAAATCACTTATAAATGATGTGGGTCGTTAATTAGGCTTAACACTACAATTGTTTTTAAAATTTCACAAAAATTATAAAATTCTTAATCAAAGTCTAATTATCACACGATCATATTTGATTATCACACGATCATTCAATTCGAGCTTGGCTATAATAAATAGACCATGTATTATGATGTATCCAACTCGCTATTAAATCAGTACTGATCATATGAAGCATTTTACTATCAAAACATTTTCTATTCAGCAAAAAAAATAACATAACATTTTCTACGTACAGCAAGAACCTAGAAATGAAAACAAATTAAGAACAACAATAACGGAATTTGACACTGAGAATTCTTGAACGAAGTTGTCATCTATGAAGCATTTGATCTTTAATCTCCCGTCAGAATCCAGCTTCACTACTCGAAGATCCGACATGAGAAAATTCACCATTATCACAGGCATCGATCCGTCGCCGTCGGTCGCGCCAATTGCTAACAAATACAAACCAGTGCCGTTCGCCACCATGAACGACATATTATTAATTTGCCTCTTTAAAATTTTTATTACAACATTTATATGGAATTTTTTTATAAAAAAGATTGAATTTTACTCGAAGTTTTGATTTTTTTTTTTTAACTACTCTTATCAAAAGTTTAAAACCTCTAATAAATCATGATACAAATAGACAAATAATGATAAAATGACGGTTGTGTTGTAGTTTAGTTTAAATTTTTTTGGTTTCATTTACGCCCCTAGAAAAGTTGCTGGCTCTGTCACTATTCGAGGATTAATGTGTCCATCGGGTAAGCAGAAGATAAAGATGATGAAGAAGGAAACCATAATTGGGTAAAGATTGATGGCTTTGGGTTTGGTTTGGAAAAGCTAATATTGGTTTCCATTATTAGTGTAATGACTGAGAAAATTCCAGACCTTAAATAATACAATTCATGTATTTTTAAGCCAAGGATTTTCTTAGAAAATATTATGTTATATTGTGAATGGAGGATTTATGGAATTAATATATGTATTCCTAAATTCTATAGCAAATTTCATGTTAAGTTCATGTTTCGATCAAGTAAATTCGATCGATAAATTCTCGCCGTATTTTAAGGCGGAATAATTTTCAGTACAAGTATAGTTTGAGAATCTTAATTTCAAGAATCTCTAAGCACAGCACGATGTTAGCGGCGTATAAAAAAAAACGCACTAACATTTTAAAAGAAGAAAAAAAAAATCCTTAATTGCCAGACAGTTAGGTTAAAGTCACAAGATAAATACCTATAGTAGATGGATACAATATGAGCTCGGGAGTTAACACTGTCAGAAACGTCATTCTCGGGATAGAATACAGAAAATTAAAATTTAGAATTTGTT